AGTAAGCCTTCCTGATATACTAATTTCAGTGCATCTTCATCATTGTTCTTCAGATATTCTTCCAAAGCCATTTTTTCTTCTTCAACCATCTGATGTACTTGTAGCATTCCACGCCCACCTATTTGCCTTGGTAGATAAAGTCTATCAATGTCACTGCGTGGATGAAGGGCATGATTCATTGTCATTATTTTTCTGGTCTGCCTATCCATTGCTTTTAGTTCTGCTTGAGTCCAGTCCACTATTCCAGCTGTGTACTTAATGACTGGGATTGCCCAGGTGTTGATTGCCTTTATGGTATTTCCTCCATTGAGTTTGGATTTTAAGATCTTCTTCACTCTCTTGATGTATTCACCTCTAATCTTTTTCTTGACTTCAGTGTGCTTGATGTTGTCAGCTTGAAGGATACCCAAGTATTTGTAGTATTCTTCCTCATCCAGACTCTTAATGTTATTTTCGTGGGGCATCTTGATTCCTTCAGTTTTCACTATTTTTCCTTGTTTGATAGTAAGTGTGGCACATTTGTCCAAGCCAAACTCCATTACAATATCTTGGCTATATATACGGACAGTGTTGAGCAGCGATTCTATTTCAGATGATGTTTTTCCATACAGCTTCAGATCATCCATGTAAAGGAGGTGGGATAGTCTAGCAGATGTTTTTGATGTTTGATAACCATGTCCTGAGTTATTCAGTATTGTTGACAGAGGAAACAGTGCAATAACAAATAGTAATGGTGATAATGAATCTCTTTGAAATATTCCTCTCTTGATATTAACCTCTCCCAGCCTCTCACCATTGATCTGCAACTGTGTCTTCCATTGTGCCATCGATCTTTGCACAAATTTTCTGATGTTTCTACTGACTCCTGTTATTTCTAGGCACTTTATTATCCAATCATGTGGCAGAGAGTCAAATGCCTTTTTGTAGTCAATCCATGCCACATTCAGGTTGGTCTTCCTTCTCTTGCAGTTTTCCAAGATCATTTTGTCTATTAGGAGTTGATCTTTTGTTCCTCTGCTATTGGGTATTATTATTATTATTATTATTATTATTATTATTATTATTATTATTATTATTATTATTATGGATCATCGCACAGTCAGCCAGATGTTCAGACTGGATTTGGCATCTTGTCTACCTATATTATTATTATTATTATTATTATTATTATTATTATTATTATTATTAGCTACTACTATGAAGTAGTTTGTCCTTGTTCAGCAATTATGAAGCTACAGAAGCTAGTGATGGCACAGATAATGAATTGTAGCCTTAAAGAATCCACCACAATTGCAAAGCCCCAGGATCAGGAAGGTTACTTGGCATTTGGGATGCAGACACCACTGAGCACCAATAAGCAATGAAAATTTCTTGTCTATAGCAAAGAATGGCCAGTGAAAACATTGGCTCATCTAGCAAAATGTCTTCAAGATCTTAATCAGAGGCCTCTTCTACCTCTGCTCCCATGAATTGCACCTTGCAAGGACATAGTAAACAAAAGATATGGGAGGATTGGCATATTTTGCAACTTCCTTATCTGAAATGAAATGGCAAATAACATGTTTTAAAGTAGTTAATTCCATAACCACAACAAGTCATATGAGTTATATTGTGCATATGGATTCACTAATATTTTTCCAAAGACTCAAGGAAGGTTACAACATACTTAAAAACAAAACAGAATAATAAACTGTAAAAGTGCGTAAGTACACACAAACATATGAACAGCTAGATAATATCTCCATTATCCTTCATATCTGGCCAACCAAATGTAGTGTGGAAAATCCTTTCCTACATATCACTTACCCATTCCAATGAGTGGCAGTTCTTCCATGTGTTGTTCCTGTGTCTAAAAATAGCTGCAAACTATGACTAAAATTACAACATTGTGAATCCAAGTTGTTAGCTATGCTTTCATTATTTTGACTTCAAGAAGCACTTAAATTACCCATGACCAACTTTTTCACTGATTTCAACAGTTAGGGTTCTTTCGATGTGAACCAAGTTTTTCCCCAAAAGCTTTTAAACTATTTTTAACGTAAAAATATATTTTTGCAAGAGTCATTTTCTACATAAAATCTGTGATTTTGCATATCAGTTGAGCAGTGTGTGTTAATTTCCACCAGTACCTGAGAATATATACCCTGAAAAGTAAAAACTGCTGTACTTTACTCTCAATTTCTACCTGTTTTGTCTACTCACTCCATCTTTCTGCTGCACAGAAAGAATAAAAATTCCTACTAAAGCAACAGACATGGATTGGTGGGAAGAAGATGGACGGTAGAACAGATGGAGGTACAAAGCAGAAGTCACCCGGTCTTGCTTTTCTTAGTGCCTCAAAGCCTTTAAGTATATAGATACAATTTTGATTGAAAGCCTGGCACCGTTAACAATCAATGGAAGTGATTGTATGGCTTTGATAGTTTTTTTTTTATTCTTTGAGTACCTGTGATCTTTTACCAAACTGATCAACAGGATTTCAACTGCATTAATCCCATTGAATCAACATATTTTAATAACTTGCTTCTAGACTTACAAAGCAAACATGGAAGTTGTCATCCAGGGACAAGTGAATAACTGACAAAAGTTCCAGGAGGTTGGAGATAAAGAGGAAAAAATGTGTCAGTTTTCAGCCTTATCATCACTGGAGGTTTACAGGCAATACATGACTTGCAACATCATTGTTACAAATAGCAACACCTGCATCAACTTTACTATTGATCCCAAAATAATGAGATCAGACTAGAATGACCTGGGGGCAGGCAGTCAGCCTGTTGACCCAGATGATAAATTGGACAGGTTGGGCTGGACAGGGCTAGATATAAATTTACAGTCCCCCTGAGTTTTGCAAGATTCAGAAACAACTATATTCCATCGTTGGTAAGGCTAATTTTCTTTTTGATGATCCCTCAACTTTATTGCATTAAATAAGCAAAGAATACAGGCCTTTGAATGGGCTCCACCACACATGTTTAGACGATAACTCTCAAGGAAGCCAGTTTACCCTAATGTAAGTATACTGCTAGTAAATAACTAAATGTATGTGCCTATGGTTTTAATATTGTTTTACATTATGTGACTAGTTCTTTAAGTGGGAAAATAGAAAGTGAAGGTGAGAACAAAATTAGATCTTTTGAAATTAAGTTGCCATAGGAGGAGGATGTATTTAAGATGCTGATTACCCTTGTAAAATTAGTATGGGAGGAGAAAAAAGTATGCTGTTAATTTAGAATAAATTCCAGTTCATACCTCACCCATTATCTAGCAGGATACATTTCTGTGTATATACATAGAAGTAAATAATATTGAGTTTATTTCCAGATGAGTACTATCAGACTAAACTGTCATCTTAGAATTAACTGGGCTTTCAATATTAGGTTAATTACAAATCAGTCAGATGAAGAGAAGCCCCCTAAATTAAATAAAACAACACAAACAATTAGAGAACTATGGTGCTACCATTCTTCAGACTATGCAGAAAACATAGCTCTATGATGGCTTCTTTATTATATCAATCTGTTGTGTGAATGGAAACAGAATCACAGATACTACCAGTTTAAAGTGAACGTTTGCAAGCCAGGATACTGATGGTTCCTCAGAGATTATGCACTTTGCATTTGACAATGTCAGAGATAATATGTGAAGTTACTTAGAACATAAAGTTTAAAAATCTATTTCATAGTTTTTAAATAAAAATAAAACCTGTTAAAACATCGCAGAATACAAATTGCATTGGATTACAATGGATAAATACAAATCTTCAGCCAATTATGGTCCATACTGTCAAGTAAAAGAGCTAGTAAGAGACTTAATCTGTTTACTAAAACGTTGTCACATAGCACATTGTTTCTGACATCCCTCTTCCATTTCCTGGTTGGGAATTACCAGGAAATATTGGGAGTTATCATATGAAAGGCATTAGACTGCCAAAGATTGTCAGTCTAGCACAGTGGTTCTCAAACTTTTTAATGCTGCGACCCCCAACCAGTCATAAGTCGAGGACTAAACTGATCGTAAGTCGAGGATTAAACCAGTCGTAAGTCGAGGACTACCCAACCGGTCGTAAGTCGAGGACATTCCCTGCCCGGGAGTGCCGCGCATGCGTGGTGCTACCCCCTGCGCCGGCCGAGGTGTAGCTGGCAAGTGGCAGAGACGGAGCAGGCCGACCACCGGCTGGGCCACCAGCTGGCCCAGCCCAAGGGAGGTAAGGCACCAGCCGGAAAAGGAGAAAAAATGGTGGACAGCCTTGCTTGGCGACCCCTGTGAAATGGTCGATCGACCCCAAATGGGGTCGCGACCCATAGGTTGAGAACTGCTAGTCTAGCATGAGAGGAACCATGGCTTTATGCCTTGTTATAAGTTATGTGCACATAAAGACTTTTGTTTCCAACTCTCCTTTGTTCTACTGTCTATAAACTATGTTAGACATACAGCTTAACCTCAGAGTCAAATTCCAAAGCTTCAGGGTTAAGTCAAAACATTTTGCTGGTAGGGATGAAAACAAAACAAGTTGCTTTTACTGATGGTTCCTCAGAGATTATGCACCTTGTATTTGAAGCCATGTTTTTTTTTCCTGCTATTTCCTCTCAGTAACTATCTGAGTGTGACTGTTATACTTTGCCTAATGGTACAACTGACCATACTCATAATCCCGCTAACCCACCAGAGAGTGATAGATGTTTTGGGACAGTAACCCAGAGATTTATAGGAACGGCTCTCCATTTTCAGAGAAAGTACAGTTGCGCTTAAAAGCATATTGGAATAGATTCATGGTTACTATGGAAGCCATGAAGTCCAACACTACTGTAAAAACAATATCATATGTAACACTGTATTCCCCTGACCTCAAAAGCCCATGTCTTGATTCCACAAGACAATGATTCACATGACTCATAAAGCATATTAATTTGCATGTTTCCATGGTATTCTTTGCGGGTCTTTTTTTTTTATAATGGCTGCTCATCTTTGAATCATTTAAACTATATGCCCCCTGCTCTTAGGGGGAAGACCATTCTGGAATGCAGCCTACCAAATACTCCTGGGGTAAATACTAATATGAGACTCATATTTTTTTTTTTAACCAGAAGCAGAAAGGTTGTGAATCAATTTAGGGAACTCTCTTTTCATACCATTATTCTCAATTATTCCTGAATGGCACCATTACTTTTCACACATAAACTTTCCTTGAAAAAGACCCGCAATGGTTGAGATGTTAATCCAAAAGGATTGGAGTGCATGCTGAGACAATCACGCTGGAAGCTATGGTTCCACTCATGCTAGATTTTGGTAATCTTGTCCTTAAATTACTCATCATGCCACTTCTGTTGCTGCTACATATTTTAGAATACCACAATAATGAAGAGCAGTTCAGATATTATGTCTGAAGGACATAAATAAACAGGAAAATGATAGATGGCCCACACATAATAGATCCCATCCATATTTATCAAATGTTCAGAGGGGCTTCTGTTTATGTTGTTTGAAAAGAAATAGGTAGTTCCATACAATTGAAACATGGTTTTTCCGCTGCATTCTTAGTATGAAAAGTGAATGTCTTCTCAAGAACCAAATGGTCACCATGCTACTTATGTTAATAGGACTGTGGACATAGTGTTGTGAACCTGCCTATGTTGTGGCAATTCATGTAACATGAGGCCAGTGGGTCTAATTAGTGTTGGAATTGATTGAGAGATGAAAGGGCATTATACCCGGTGTAACTCTTGAGGCTATGTGCCACCGGCCCCTCCTCCCCAGCTCAGCCGATTTCCCAGGGTTGTTAGAAGGATAGAGAATGCTAATATTGAATGCCTGGACATTTAATGAGATATAAATGTATAAAATAATTAACCACCCAGAGGCCTGGATCAAATATGCCTATTCCAAAAGATATAACTCACTAAATTTAGTAGCCTTGGAATGGCAGCAATTAGATCTAAATCATAGTGTAGTTTCATGGTTGCTATAAATTGCTCTTTAAAAGATCTTGCCTTGGCATTAATTGCAATACAGCCGATATTATGCCCCACTTTTAAGATGTAAAGGAGCACATGTACAAGATAAGCAAAAGACATGAGTTCACAGCATGAACAGTTACATTTCATTCACCAGTCTCGTTTCTATGAAAAATGCTTTAAGACAGCAGATTTTCTACAGAATGTAAAGTTGGGTCTCTGCCTCTTTGCTGCTTCTCCAGCCTGAGTTCACAATGACTTCTAGGCACAGATTTCATTCTCCCCATCATTTCTGATAGATGGCAAAGGGAGGGCAAAAAAAGGATCCTTTTAACCTATCATTAATATGTTTGCTTGAAGCTCAACCAAAACTATTGGCTGCCCATTGGATAGGACTTAAGAAGTATTGGGGATCATCCACACCATTATCTCGATTTTCCTTAATCTTAGATTTTAAAAAAAAACAGAATAGATGTAGATTTCTGGCCACATTTTGACCAACCTTCTAACAACGAATTAAAAAGGCCTGTGGCAGCAAGTTCTTATTCAACATATACTATATTACTGCCAGGAGTTCTGTAAGAGCACCAACCCTAGCCTCAGCAAAAGCCAAGTAGTGTTGATGGGTTTGGGGGGCTGGAAAAAGGAAAAGAGCAGGGACCAGTGGGAAGAACAAGAATTATTCTTACATTCTAGAAATTGTAAATTGGTCAAACGTTTTAGGTGGTACAGAGATAAAAAAAGTTGGAAGAGGCACTTTTGATCAAGTTACATATTTTACAAATGCTTAATCAGATATATTTTTCTCTTGATTTTTAATATTCTTGATCCACTAATATGTACTACTGGGTTTCTACATCTCTGAATACATTTCTGCAAGATTTCCTGCTCATTTCTCCTTTGATAAATCAGCTTAGGAACAATTTTGACCTTTTGTAGTTATCCCACCTATACTGGCAGTTATGGCCAGTTGATCTACATCCACATTCTTGTAAAGCTGCAGATTGGAAATAAAAAACTGAAAAGATTTTTAAGAGATTTGTCTCATATTATCTTAGATGACAGCAGCTGTGAAGCAGGAAGATTAGCTTCTTGAGAGAAGGGATAAAGTACACAGTGTTTACAGAGGAGTGTTCTCCACAGGTTATCGGCAGACACCTGCTCTCCACCTACATCCTGCCAGTAAAAAACATTCTTGTCCAGGATTCTGGTTTGGACAATAACAGAAAGAATGAAAACTCCACGCTGCCGTTACATTCTTCTGGTACGTACTTTTGGGCATGCTTTAGGGTACAAATGGAAAAAGGCAAAGCAGAGTGAAACTTCCATCTGACCTAATGGTTCTAGACATTCTTCTGTCACTTAATTCTTTCCCACACCAAATATATTGCCACTCTGCATAAAGATGTCTACTCCCAAGTAATATAATCCCAAATGGAAAAAAAGGGGGGAAGCCTCTTCAAGGTCAAGCAGTAATTTTGTTTTGGAGCTTTTTGGCTAAAAAACATTGCAGAATCAACTAGAACCTAGGGCTTAGTAGTAAATAGTTAAATGTGAAGAATTAACTGTTGGATAAATGAATTCTGTGTTTGAAATCAGTTGTGACTTTGGGTGTAAGAAGCTGCTACAGGTTAAGTTGCATTAACTATAAGTAAAGGGTTTCCTTCCAGGTATCTTGGATTTTGACTTCAAAATACACCCCACTATTCTGGAGAATAATGGCAATTCCTAATGAAATCACATGGTGTTGAAGCTGGAAATGAATGGAGCTTTAGTATTTTAGTATCTTCTCTTCACCAAATTTGGAGGAAAAATGCAAAATAAATAGCATCAGTATCAGTTTTTATTTGTGTGTTCTGAATTTTGATTCCCTCTCTTCCCACTGTTTTAATGACAGAGTATCATGTCCTCTACTATTGATGTTCAGATTATGTCATTGATAGTAAAAATGACATGAAAAAAAATAATAATAAACAGCTGGGGAATGACCGAAATAGCTCAGTGAAGAATACACATGCTTGTTACCTATACAAAGCTGAGGGATGTTTATGTGCATGTATGTACGTGATGGAGTGTTGTTAGACCCACAAAACTGAGGGAAGGAGTATATGGGATCACATAATAGAATTTATATAAATTTCCTTTATCATTATTTGCCATAAGATAAACTATATTTTATATCAAGTATTAACTCAGTCTTGCAATATCATAGAATTCTTAAATAATACATTCAGGAAGTACGGATTGTTACTGTGATCATTAAACAAGGGGAAAGAGTATCCTGAATTTTTATTCCACAAAGAATAAGTTATGTCCAATGCCAATTCATGATTGATGATACCTTTGACATACATACAGGTATACAGTGTACTGTATCAATCTAGTATAGTATAGAGATCAATTGACCTATGGAACATTCAGCAGGAAAAGGAGATAAGAATTTCAGAAGGAGAGCTAATAGAGTTAGAGATTAACAATCCACAAAAGAAGTGTTACAATTAATTGTCATCCAAAGTCAAATATTGAAGTCCTGATCCACCTTGCCAATGGAAGTTAATCATATGAGAGGGGAATAATAATAATAATAATAATAATAATAATAATAATAATAATAATAACAACAACAATGACGACGACAATAAAGTTGGAAGGGACCTTGGAGGTCATCTAGTCCAACCCCCTGCTCAGGCAGGAAACCCTATACCATTTCGGACAAATGGCTGTCCAGTCTCTTCTTAAAAACTTCCAGTGTTGGAACATTCACAGCTTCTGGAGGCAGGTTGTTCCACTGGTTAATTGTCCTAACTGTCAGGAAATTTCTCCTTAGTTCTAGGTTGCTTCTCTCCTTGATTGGTTTCCATCCGTTGCTTCTTGTCCTGCCTTCAGGCACCTTGGAAAATAGCTTGACTTCCTCTTCTTTGTGGCAGCCCCTGAGATATTGGAACACTGCTATCATGTCCCCCCTCGTCCTTCTCTTCATTAAACTAGACATACCCAATTCCAGCAGCCTTTCCTTATATGCTTTAGCCTCCAGTCCCCTAATCATCTTTGTTGCTCTTCTCTGTACTCTTTCTTGACTCTCAACATCTTTTTTACATCGTGGTGACCAAAACTGGATGCAGTATTCCAAGTGTGGCCTTACCAAGGCATTGTAAAGTGGTATTAATAAATCTGGTGAGGTGGCCCAAGCTGTGTGAAACCCCACACAGATATTTTGTAAGTGTATGGCTGGGTTCTGGCTTCCAAAACGAAGGCTGGAAACCAATAGCTGCGGGTCTGAGTGGCTGACCCCAGCTTTTCAGCCAAGGTACAGGTTTTGCATACACATCATACACAAACATACACACAAATCTTAATGACATTTGTAATGCCTTTCAGATGAATGGATGTTTCTAAGGTTTGGAAAAGGTCTTAGTCATCCTATGCAGAAATCTCATTGCAATACTGAATAGATGAAGGAAAATGAATATGCAGTAACTATTACTGCAAATCTTTTTAATCCTGAAGACTTCCCAATGCAATGCAAATTTTAGGCTGGCTTTGAAAACATTCTGGCTACAGAAATAGATTCATAGGAAGGATGGACTAATGCAATATTACATAAATCATAATCCTTCCTTCCCTCTTATGAGACTATTAAAGGCTTAATGGAAAAAAGTACAGCTTGTTGAATTAAGATTCCCAACACTTTTTAAAATTGCTTGTTATGGACAAATTACTCATTTCACTAACTTCATGTACATGTCATTGCCTTATTAGAATTATTTTTGTAATGATAGGGTGATTTATCCAACTATTTAATGGGAGATGTTCCGTAGGCCAGGTAGGAAAAGAGAATTCTCACCTTACTTAATGATGTGTTTTTTGCCAGCCCAATCTGGATGATGAAACTTTGTCTCTAGAACCTGAAGAGGAAGCTGATGGGCTAGACTCAGTCAGGACAAATGCAGATGTTCCATCCCAAGTTGCAGAAGAATTGAATGAGCCTATACTGAATGCTCAAAGTAGCATCTTGCATAAAGAAGAAATCCAACAAGTAAATAAATTTTCTCTCTATGCCTTGGAATTTTACACTTTTCATGGGGATATCATAGCTTAGCTTCTTTGCTTGTCCCTGGGAATTGCATAGAAAAAGCCCATTTTCTCCAGACAATGCATTTAGCTGATGCAAGTTTTATTGACATATGAACTGGGCTCAAGCATCATGCTAACCCACAATGTAGCTTGTCAACAGCACATTATGTGACTCTAGCCATTGTACTTTGTAGATCACTGCTTTTTACTTAAGTGCTGATGGCTTAGGGTGTAAATTGAGATTTATTCAATACATTTGAATAAACAATGATTTAGTGTGGTATGTAAATCCAACCATTTTGTTTCCTAATAAACAAATAGGCAAGTTTCTGCTAGACTGAACTAATTTCTGGCAAAGATTGAATATTTATTTTTGCTTAGGCAGAATCCAGATGCTGGATGAGGGAATCTTGTTTTCAGTTATGTGTTTTCTAGCCTGAAATTTCCAGCCTGCAAAGATCATGCTGATTCTAGTCTAACATTTCCAAAGATGAACAAATTGAGAAAAGTTGATAAAAGGAAAAGACTGCAAGATGAGAAAAATTGATCTTGTTTATATGGTCCCTCTTAGCTAACTCCACATCTCCCTCTGCGAGTGACTGCCTATCCTTGGAACCTTGTCTACTGTACAGCAAGGGATGGATTTAGTCTGAAGACCATGTATAGAAGCATGAGCAACTTGGCCTCTCCCGTGTTATTGATTATCAGAGATACTGATGGGCAGGTAACCCAGATAGGTCTAAATCACAACTTTACATATGTAAGATTGATGATATGGAAAAAAAGAATACTAATTAATTAGGTCTAACTCAACTTTAAATAATTAGGCAATTATTCTTCTCTTTTCACAACATTAAGAAGTAGTCAACAATATTTAGTACATCTTCCTGATCACCTAGAAAGGGTTTGAAATGGGAAATGGGAAGATGCAAGAGAAAGGAAAAGATCCATTTTACAATGGATATAATAACTGCAGACCCAGTTTGGTCTAGTGGTTAAGGCAGGGGTCCCCAACCCTCAGTCCATGGACCAGCACCGGTCTGCGGCATGCCAGCAACCAAGCAGCACAAACAAGCGAAGCCTCATCCAGGGGATGAAGGCAATACGCAAAACCACCATACCACTGGTCTGCTGAAAACCCTTTCTTCATGGTGCCCAAAAGGTTGAGGGCCTCTGGGTTAAGGCACTGGGCTAGAACTCAGAATACCATGCGTTCAAGTTCTGCCTTGGCATGAAAGTCAGCTGGGTGAACTTGGACCAGTCACTCTCTCTCAGCCCAATTCGCCTCACAGTTATTTGTAAAAATAATAAAGCAGAAAACAAATAAACAGCTCATTATGTGTAGATTGGAGGTAATGCAAGTCATCTTCATGGATACAAAAAAGGCTTCACCACCCAAGGCGTAATCTGCCCCCTGAGCTACTATTTTAACAGATTGTTGGAAAGCTGAGTTCCACTTTAGAAATGTAACAGTTCACATTTATAAAATCTATTCATGTTCATGATAAACAAACTGTTTTTGTCTTATTATTGTTTGACAACTATTTAAAATCCTAGGCCATTTTGTAACCAACATTGTAATAATACAAAGGATACTGGATTTAAAATAGAAAAATGGCTTAGAAATATAATTCAGTAATTCGTAGACTGAATTGATCTACATTTTAGAATGTTTAATAAATACAGTCAATTTTGGTTCATTCAATATAATAGGCTAGGCAGAACATGACTTATCATGATGAGCAATGAGCATAAAGATAGGCATGATTAAATTGCTGAATCCTGAAATATATTCTCTGTATCTTTTTCAGATATTTGGAGCTTTTTCTTCTACAGCTATTCATGTGAGCAGCTGTTTTTATGGCAATGGAGAAACATTTCTGTTCTCTTTCACTCCACAACTCAAGGTGATTGAAACTCCATAGGTTAATCCCTATGTTGAGTGAGTTGCTTTTGTATTTACAACTTCAGGAGCCAATAGTTATTCACATTTTGCCAGTCACTAAATTGCTATGGCTATAAAGGGCACACTTTAAAAGATGCTGTGATATTATTGGGTTCCAAAATATAACTTGGTAAATTCCAAAAATTTACCAAGTAGATAGATTAGTGAATGGGCTAAGGGAAAATGAAATGTAATAGAAAAATGTGAATTTCTTCTTGTGACGAAGAAGAATGAAGAAATAAAAAGAAAACAGAAATCACGAAATAGAAAGCATAGGTAAATGTATGGGATGGAATATAACTAGTCTGGTAATTTATTATTTGTGAAAAGCATATTGGACAAATAATTTAAATAACAGTGCAGATTAAACGTGAGTCAGTATTTTGATATTGTTGGGAAAAGAGTCAACTAATGTAATTTTAGGCTGCATCAATATAAAAATTGTTTCCAAGTTCAAGAAAAAATAAGATCTCCACTTTATTCTTCATGATTCAGGCCCTATCTTTGGTATTATGTTTGTTTCCGGCACCACACTTTAAGAAAGATTCTAAAGCAGAGTTAAGGAGCAACAAGATGAGAAAGTATCTCTTATGAAGAGAAGCTGGATGAACTGGGATATTTAGCCTTGAGAAAAGAATATTAAAGGAGAGTACAATAACACTCTTCAACAACATGAAAAGATGCACCCAGTGGAAATTATTCAATGAAATGTCAGAAAAAAGTTTGCTAATAACAAAAGGATTTTGACAATGGGTTCTTCCTCTTTAAATATCTTCAAAGGAAGGTAGACGTCTTCTGTTGGGAGAGTTAATATAGATTTATATCCTGAGCAGTGAATTGTAGCAGCACCATAAATCAGGATGCTTTCAGGAATTATCCAGCCAGCATGCTACCTCTCTATCATGCTTTCTTTCTATGCATGTCCACATGGAAGATAATAGCTGGACATACAATTAGATACAATCTATTAAATCACACTATGAAAAGTTTCAAGCTATCACTGGAAATAACATGAGTGGATTTTTTTTTATATAGGAAGCCTATATGGTTTTATTCCTAAATTGCTTAATGCTATACATTTGATTCCCTTGTCAGGTATTTAAATGGACAGGCAAAAATACCTTCTTCATGAAAGGAGATGCAGATTCTTTAGCCATTGGTGGTGGCAGGTACGTAGCTTTGAAAGACAGCTGGGTTATAAGGAAATTAATTTGTCAGTTCAGCATGCCTGCTGCATTGCAATCTCATTAGCTCTTTTGCATGGTTAAGGAAGATCATGAATTGATGTTTGTAGCTCATAAATGATATTGTCATTGCTGCCACTAGACAAGTAATTTATTATTTTAAATGATCTATAACAGTAAAATTGCCCTAAAAATGTGGATTGTTTCTATTTTTTGTATTTAATGCAAGTCATCACTAGCACCCTTTCCTTACTTCTTTGTCCTGTTATATCATGCTGAATATGTCATCCTATCCCCTATTTGCTATCTTCACACTCTTGTTATTACAACGACATGCCAGCTGTTGAGTTTTTATGCATGCCATTTTATTGGACATTGGAATAAATGCCAAGTTGTGAATATTATTACTTGCCAAAGTTCCCTGCTAGGGCATTTTCTCTTCCACATCAGTCTCTTTGGTTTTTATGCACTAGCAAGTGTTGGAAGAATGTCAAGTGATGCAATTGAAACTATCTCCAAAATGTCCAAGGTTTCCAAGAGTATGAAATAATTCTACATTTGATTTTCTTGATAGTAATGTTAAAGTGATAGGTATGTCACAATTCTCCCAGAGCAAAGCAAGATATTGGAGTAAAAAGCAAAATGCTTTTTGTATTTAGTATAGCTTCCATCACCTGATAGCACCATCCAGCACCCCAACTTAGAAAACAAATGCAAAGCTTATGCACTAAATGGACTCCAGCAAATGAGTCAGTATTATACCATTGAATAAGTTTTGTGCTATGGAAGTTATTCTATGTGCTATCTCTTGCCTTGTATGCAGTGGTAAATTTGGACTCTGGCTAGATGGAGATCTGAACCATGGAGGAAGCCACCCCTGTGAAACCTTCAATAATGAAGCATTATCACCCAAAGAGGAATTCCTCATCCGAGACTTAGAAGTTTGGACATTGTCTTAACTGGAAGACTGGGAGAAAAATCAGACATCTTTTCACATAAACTTTCCAAGCTCTTGAGAAAAAGGATTTGGCCAGCAGTCCTGCATCAGTTTGTCAAATCCCCCTCAAATGAGGATAAACCTGTTGTGGATTCCCCATGTCTTTTATAGATTGGCAAGAAAGAAAGCTGAAGAATCTTACCAATTTTCTAATATTTATATCCCTCAGTTACCAGCCTCTTCTCAAGTAAGCTGCATCTAAAAGTAGTTTGTTCTTTGGATGTATCCGGGTCAGTGGTACACATCTGTAGTGCAGATAGGAAGTGATGTCTGGGTAACAACCCTATGAGGAATTGGTAAGCAATAAACGTATTTGCCACTATTGCTTGCTGGGTAAGTAACATAAACAGATGTTGTTCTTTGCTTTAACAGATACCTGCCCATTTATGGGTCAAGCTACTTTCATAATAGAAGCAAACATATTGCTCTTAGGCTTCACCTAAGACATTTTTACCTGCTTGTAAAATATTAAGTAAATAAGGAGGAATTTCCGGACAATGAGTTATTAAGCAGTGGAACAAGCTGCCTCCGGGAGTTGCAGGATGTTCTATTCAAGCAAAAGATTGGAAAGCCAATTGTTTGGGTAGCCAGAGGATCCTGGTCCTGAACAGCAGGTTGGCCTCCAAGATCCCTTCCAACCCTGATTCTGTACTTCGGCTTTCTGCTTTAAAATGAGAAATCTCTATAGACTTTCATAGGCATTCTTATGACTTAATTGCCATACTTAGGAATAGTTGAGTATTTATATCACAACACATTTCTATTGTTGTTTTGTTGTGTTCACATGCCCAAATACCTTCTAAAAGAGAGATATTTCTCTAAATGTGTTAGTGCCTACAAACAATGGCTCCATACTTAAAGAAGAGAATATTTATAGCTCAGATTTGAACTGTGGTTCCTTGGTGCTCTCTGAGTTTGGTAGCACATGCAATGAAATACTACAATCACTTTTTTCTACAGCAGGTCACCTTTTGAGCTGAACTCTTGATGATGTAAAATAGACAGGTCCATTCAGTATTCATGGCTTCATACATACAAAAGTGTGTTGCTGTTGGTTTCTTGCAAGGAACTATTGTTTTTGCATCTTTTTTTTGGCTGCAGAAGCAGCTTTGTAAATGATAGTTGTTCTTTAATACAATGTAGCCTCACTCAGGTTTTACATCAAACTTTTTAGTCTTTTCCTTTCTATTATAGAAAGCTCAGTTTTATTAGCAATCCATTTGCAACATTTTATCTCCAGAAATTTGTCTGTAATATGGACAATTTTCACTATTGCATTTCTGGCATCATTTTATGAACATTTCAACATTCTATAACATTTATATGCATCATGATTTTGCATCCATATATAGGGTTACCAGAAAACTGAATAAATAAAGGAAGACAAATGAGGGAAAAAAGAATATTTGTATTTACATTCATTGGAGGGGAAGGAATTACAACTGAGTAAACAGCCACACAATGGGGAATATACACTGAGATGAATGCATATAATGCCTAGTAAATAGTGCCAGCTGTTTGCCTAACATGTTTGTGGTTCTGTCCCAGAAGCAGCTTAGGAGGCAAAAGCCTTCAGCATGTAACTGATAAAGGTTTTATCAATTTCAGGCAATAGTACAAGTGGGAAGGCTCTAATCCAGGGGTGTCAAACTCGCAACATCACATGGCGTGTTGCAACGTATCGTGACTTTTTTTCCATTGTCGGCAATGGGGTAGGCGCGGTTTTTGCATGACGCATTTGGCCCGTGGGCCGGCAATTTGACACCCCTGCTCTAATCAATTGAGGTCATAGATCTAACCTTGTTTGTTAACTTGCTGTTAGCATTTATTAGGGAAGCTCAAATCTATATTCCTCTTCTGAAGGAAAGCTCAGATATGCAAAGGGAGGGAACAACATTTGGCTGTCTGCTGGATGGTGGTCATGAAGACAAAATGGAAGACACATCCTCCTTTTCATGGATATCTGTATGTCCCTGTGTAAAAAGGATGCAGGGTGGTAATTTTCTTTTCGCAAAAGCGCAAGTTAATACAGAAGCCCAGGATTACCATGAACAATTCACTAACCGTTCACACCCGAAGCTGAAAGAACAACCTGATTTACAAATAGGAGCAACGTTTGAAAATTCTCTCAGCTGGACCAAATACTGTTATGAATCCATATGGTAAGCAGGTCTTTAGGAGCTTCACAATTTCTTTCTCATGGTCATATAAACCCTGAGCTTGCAGCAGTTTGCAGTTCCAGCAACTGCCATAAGGATTTGCTATAATGATTCAATCTAATGCTGGGAAAGATTGAGGGCAATAGAAGAAGGGGACGACAGAGAATGAGGTGGCTGGATGGAGTCACTGAAGCAGTAGGCATAAGCTTAAATGTACTCCAGAAGATGGTAGAGGACAGGAAGGCCTGGAGGAACATTGTCCTTGGGGTTGCGATGGGTCGGACACGACTTCGCAACTAACAACAACAGTAGATCCTTGAAAAAAACCTCAGGCTTTCCTAACACAAAAACAATTAAATGTACAACACCCCCGCCCCCAATACATCCATATTCTAAATCCACTGAGGGATAAGTATAATTTTCTGCCCATATTATATTTTAATTGCAAAGTTCTAGCTTGGCTTAAGCTTGAATATTTTTAAGAAAATTGAAGAAAGATTAGTTACATTTAAACAGATTAAAGCATAAAGCAGCAGATGTTATTGCTGAATGAAATGTTTACCAGCTGATATTCAAATTCAGGCTATAAAATATAAAGTTAGGTTGGACTGAGTATTTTATTAGTTAAATTCTATTCTCAATGTAAAAAGGATGTGAATGTCCCCCCAATTCCTTGCAACCTTCTTCAAATCAGTGGTGTGAAAGATGGAATGTATGAAAATCACTTTTGTTTTTTTCAGTGGGAATATATATCTTTCTTCCATACCACAGGAATAATGGGTTATGGAAAGGCAAATCTGTAGCCAATCCATTAAATTAATCCATTAATTAAAAATGCAGAATTCTTCTGAAACTTACTCAGATTTTTTGAATGGGCCTAAAACAAGAATTATACTTTAGAATGAAATATTAGTTCTTGCAATTAACAGAAACATGCTACGTTAATATATAAAGTAAATATTGTAGAATTTGGTTTCCAGAAATAATGTAAAGAAATATCATATTGTTCTAAACAAAGAATCCATACTATCTGATTACTACAAGACATAAAAATACATTAAAAGTTGGCTTCAGAGAAGTTGGAAACACTTTCCTCTTACAGTTTTGTCTCTTTATGGTTCAAAATAATTTTCTTTTGTTTCATTGAAAGCAAGAGTCCTATATTGTTTTATAGTTGTTTCTTTTATTAAAACAATTATCAAAATATTCATAACTTTAATATTAAAATATTGTAATATTTATTGTGCTAATGCATATTTAGCTCTAAATCAATATACATTCACCAGCTGTCATGATCTAAAAGTTAAAGAATTATGGAATAATTTCACAGAAAATATATAAATTTCAAGCAAGTAGCAGAAGAGCTTCCCCACTCTCAAATTTTATTTTATGTATTTACTCAGATAGGGAAGTTATGGATTTTATTCACTAGTTCATTTCACTGTTTATGGTTTGCACTAGTGGAAAGAATATTTGTGAATATTAGTAATCCAATTTTTGATTTAATTTTTAATTTAAACAACACTGCCTGAATACTAAAGCTAAAGTTAGTGCAAGGAATAACATTTTCATGAAACTGACAAATTATACATTGGGGGGGGGGGCCTCAGCCATCTACACTGCAGATATCGATTTTGGCCCTGAGTATTTCTGCAGCAGGATATGCTACTCCAGAATGGAGTGCATCCACACATGCGAAGCAAGTTGACATCACTGTCAGATGCCCTAAACCCACACCAATTAAGAAAATGTACCCTTTTGCTGGCATTGCTCTACCTAGGATTAGGAGAGAAGTAGCAGCAGACGCTGAGAACCAAACGAGAGAATTATCCCCCGACATCCTCTGAATGGATACATACCCCAAACTCGTCGACTTAAATCTAGGAAATTTTATGGGAGGAGCAAAACTAAATTAGAAGATGGAGAACAGAATTTATGGAACAAGAAATAATCTCAAAAGAGAACATGGCTGAGGGATTTGATCTCCCTATGTTAGTTGGAAGACACTGAAAAAGTTGATGATGGAAGTGCCTAAAAGTAAAATCAACATGCTCAAATAGGGGGTTGCTGGTGGATAACAATGTGCAATATGAAAGTGGGGAGAGGCAGAGTCTGGGCCATTTGTTGGTCTGTCAATTACTACCAGTAGAATGCACTGAAAGTGATTTGTTTCTGGCCAACGATAAAGCCAAAAAGGTAGCCTCATTTTGGCAGTTTAAGATTTAATCTGGACATGAAATAAATAAAAATCACTCAGGCCTACTTACTATAAACCCTTTCCCCATCCCTTGAGGAAGCATCTCTGAAATGGGGGGGGGCATTTCCAACAGTTCAGGAGAAGATAAAGCCTAATGAAAATTGGTTAGCTCTCCCTGTGCAAATTTAGAAAATTTACACTTATAAAAACAATGCTGGGTTCAGTGAAGTATTCAGAATATTTTAGAAAAATGATTTATAAATCTTAAGTTTCTTGACTTTTAATCCCTGAAGTTTAAAGTTTGTAAGTTTGCTATATAGAACAGTGATGTTTATCTTAAATTAACACTAAAATAATGTTGATAAATTATTTGCACAGCTATTGTCAAAACCACAATAATATACAATTTTGTGAAAAAGTCTACAGGTATTTTCCACTGCAGTTTTTTAAAGGGATTATGCAGGCTTACTCTGTAATTTTACAGAATATCTTTTGGAGAAAGTTTGGCTAAAATACATCCACACACAAAGATACATGCAAACACACAAGATTGAAGGAATATACTAACTCAATCTTTAAAAAAGTTTTGTTTTACAATTTAAAGCAGCACTGTTTGTGTTTGAAACCTGATTTTCATCATCCTTGTTCCAGCCTTTTTTCATTGGAGTAAGTTCTGGAGCAACCACATCACCATCCTATCAAATAATCAAAATGGAGAAATTAAGTTTTGCATTTCAGATAAACTGTTAAGATATTTTGTCATCTTTTCTCCTGACAACTGAAATAAATATTTATGTGTGCATTTAAGGGAGACGATTCCTAAATTATTGGAAAAGATAGAACAATTTTGAGAGATAACAAGATTAAAGATAAATAGAGAAAAAACTAAAGTGATAGTTAAAAATGTTACAGATAAACAAAAAAAGCAATTATTAGAAAAAATAGAATTGCAAATAGTCAAAAAGTTCAAATATTTGGGAATATATTTGACAGCAAGATGTTCCAACAATAAAAGAAGATAATTACATTAAATTGTTAAACCAAATAAAGCTTGATTTGGAGAAATGGAAGAATCTTCAACTGTCAATATTAGGAAGAATTGCTACGGTGAAAATGAAATGTATTACCAAAAATATATTTTTATTTCAAATGATACCTATGAAACTGGAGAAAAAATTCTTTGAAGATTTAAACTCTCTAATTCAAAAATTTATCTGGCAAGAAAAGAAAGCTAGAATTAAATTGAAAATGTTACAAGAAGCCAAGGGAAATGGAGGCTTTGGCTTGCCAGATTGGGTTTTATATTATCAAGCATCAGTGTTAACATGGATAAAAGAATGGATAGCTCTTAGAAATAAAAGATTTCTGTATCTGGAGGGACATGACCTGCAGCTTGGTTGGCATGCTTTTCTATGGTACGGAAAAAATAAAATACATAAATACTTCTAAAACCACTACATTAGAAATGCATTATTGTTACCTTGGGAAAAAATAAAATTTAAAATTTATTTTAAAAAACTAGGATGGCTTTCAACAATGGAAGCATTCGTACATCCAAATCTAGTCAGTCTCAATAAAATATGGACATACAAAAATATTCTAAATTCTGAAGGGAACTTAAAATCCAGGCAAGAGATGGAAAATCAGGCATCGATTTAACACCGTGGTCACATTTACAAATGCAAGTCAGATATGATAAAGATATTAAACAGTACAGATTTTACAAAGAACAGATTATGTTTGATCAGAATTATTAATTTCTGATGAAAAGTTAATTTAAAAAATGTACAATTTCTTATTAAATTTCAAAATGGGAAGATGAACAAGTAAAAGAGACAATGATAGTATGGGCAAAGAATTTTGGATATAATATAGAAAAGTGGCAAAGTTTGTGGGAAAGAAACTATAAATTGACAATGTCAGCTTCATACAAAGAAAACTTATATAAAATGTTTTATAGATGGCATTTGGCACCAAGATTAGCAAAAATGTTTAAAAACATGTCAGAGAAATGTTGGAAATGTAAACACAAATCAGGAACTTATTATCATATGTGATGGATATGTGTTAAAGCAAGGAGATATTGGACAATAATACACATTTGGTTAGAAAAAATGTTAGAGAAACACATAGACTACAACCCTGAATTTTATTACTAGGTATAATGCCAGAAAAACTTGATAAAGAAAGTACATATTTGATTCTACATGTGATAACAGCAGCAAGAATTATATTTGCACAATATTGGAAAAATGAAGAAATACCACCAGAAGAAGAAATAATCAAAAAAATATTAGATTGTGCGGAAATGGACAGACTTACTTTAAGGTTGAAAGAAAAAGAAGAAACAGAATATTTTCAAACTTGGGATCTATTTTATCAATGGTTAGAGAAAAGATTTAGGGATTAGGAATTTAATTCGTATTAGTGAATAAGATACCTACATAACACGTTTTGTTGAATAATTATTATTGAACTTTGTTTAAAAATAACAATAATAAAACTTTTTTAAAAAAAAGAATTACACTTTCCAAAATGTTCAGGAGGATATCTTATTATGAGTGTACTTTCATTCATGTATGAACATCTTACCGTTGGTTTAGAGAAATCCTTATTCATACACCACTGAACAAAATATTTTGTAGCAGCTTCAATTATCCTTGTATCCTTTTTTTTACAATAAACTCTGATGATCTGCTCTGCAAATTTTTCTGGGAGCAGCTTTGAAACCTTAAAGACATAAATAATTAAAACGCTTAACTTCAGTGACTTTCCTGATCTTCCCCAAGCAGTAAAACAGAACATTGAAAGCCATTATAAAAGGAGCATCTAATACAAGCATAATAGAGCTAGTGTAGAAGATTCAACCTTTAAAACTGAATATCATTACAGGCAATTCTCAACTTATTGCTTAGCGACTGTACAAAGAACCCACCCCCAAAAGTACTTTTGACCCAGATCTGAAACTGCAATGGCTGCTCTCTTCCCCAGTCTCATATCGTATTTTGGGCACTCAGCAAGTGGATCACATTTACGGCCATTTGCACAATCCTGCAATCACATGACCATGATTTACTCTTTTTTTTTTTGCCAGCAACTAGCATATGGTTCTGATTCTGGCAAAAAATGGCCATTGAGGACACAAGATTTACTTAATGCTTTACAGGGTTTGCATTACAATCACAGGGTTCACGTTACAACCGCTACAAATAACATTGTAAATTCAGATATGGTTATATGATAACTTCATGAATTCTGAACATAATTCTGGGCTCAATTATACTTTTAAATCAAGGACTACCTGTAATATGGTGGCTATTTTCTTAAAACCAATACAATAAACTGGCAAAATGAACTGCTCCCATTTTTACTTACTTGTTCTCTTGCAATTTTGACTGCCTGAGTGATGTCATGCTTGCAGTAGAAATGAACATTATTGACGGGGTTCCTTTCTTTCATTCCATAATCCATATCAATAACCTTTATATGGCAAAATCAAAATAGAGCACACTTAACAATTTATATAAATACACTCTAAGAAAGCAAAGTAAGGTATTTTATTTTTTAAAAAGGCTGAGCTTGGTTGTTTTCTTGCAGACGTTTCATTACCCAGATTAGATAACATCATCAGTGCTAAAGATCAGTACTAAAACTGATAAGGATACCTAGTTTGCAAAAAACAACCAAGCTCAGAGACCACCAAGGAACCCACTGAGCTACAAATATTCTCCTTTATTGATAAAAACAAAACCAAAAAAGCACCTTACTTACATCAACAAAAAAATCTTCAGCCCTCAGTTCCACATCTTGAGAAATTGCCATAGGTTTGCACTCAACAATTTCAGCACACAATCTATCATAGTCTTCCTGGAAGGCATAACATTTTTAACTTTTCATTGAGTCAGCAGACAACAGTATTTTCGGAAACTTGATTAATATTTTAAAAAATATTTTAGTTACATATATCATTTACTGCAACAAATACAGAATTGCTATAACATTATATTCTATCTATATAATCTATATGTGTGTGTGTGTGTGTGTGTATGTGTTTATGTGTATAATTTTCAAAGCAGTAATTACATCTACATTGGCAAGAACATTCCGAACACTCTTCAGATGGACTACAGTTGGAGTGAAGTTAATCTCCATTACAAAGAGAAGGCAAGGTTACTATATTGTAATATTTATTATTTCATGATAAAAACGTATAACTACATTTTCTTGGAAATATATAGTATATAATTGAAATATGGATTTAATAAAAAGTATGGCTCATATGCTCTAACAGCCTCTAAGGTACCTACATTATTAGGATCCTTAAAAGATGCAGCACTCTTATGAATGAAAAGCAACAATTCAATTTTACAAAAAGAAAAATAAGAATATTAGTCATATATCTGAACTGTAGAATGAAGAAACATGAAAAATAATTATTAAATACAAAATGAATTTATCGGAAGATACATTTTTGAAAGGAAAGTTTTTTGGGTTTTTTTTCCAGTGCCTTGTACCTTATTGAAAGGAAAGTATGGAGTACATGCCTTTTGAGAGTATGTGTGCATGGACAGCAATTTAATTCTATTGCTATTTCCAATAGAAGTTCTGTTGTAAATGGAGAATATCCTACCTAATTCATTGCAAAAGGATTTTTCAATTTTCAAAAACATGTTGTTTCCTGCAAGTACACTACCCAATAATTACCAAAGGCTGCCATCTCTTCTTTTCCTGTGCAACTGGGATGAAAAGGCTCATTCCCATGATTTTCTATGAACACTGAAACATTAGTTCTGATTAGACAATCCTTGCCCTGTTGGGTTATTGTTTCAGAGATATTTCCTTACTTAAAAAGAGAAATAAAGTTGGGCAAAAAAAAAAGCAGTCAGAATAGAAGCAACTTTCAATTTCCTACTACCTTCCCCGTTCAGTTTCCTTGTAGGAATCTGTCAAGGAGGACAAGAAATATTTCTTTCTCCGTCCCTCCCTCTTTCCCATTTTCTTCCCTTCTCTTTCAGGTAAGCAGGTAAGAAGCTGCTGCTGAGTGGAGGAGGAAGCAAGGGATTGTGATACTGGCTCAAAAACTGTCATAAGACGATTGAAAATAAAGATCATATTATAACAGCCACAACTTTCCCAAATTTTATCCCTTGGGAGTCATGGGCCCCAGATTTTGGAAACATTTTGTAAGTTAGCCCATTTGAAGTAACTTGGTTCAGAAATTGTTATCCTATGATGCACCATTTCATCCAATCAAAGGACACAGAGTTTTAATAGTATAGAAATGGAGCACTCAAGCTACTAAGAATTCCATTTCACTAAAACACACATAAATAAAACATTCTGAAACAATGAAAGTTCTACTTTGCACAGATTCATCTGGTGTTCCAATTACAACCTTTCCTGGATTGGGAGACTTTGCTCACAATTACTCATGCCTTAGTCCCTTCCTATTTGGATTATTGCAACATGTAGATGCAGAGAAGAGCAATAAAGATGATTAGGGATCTGGAGGCTAAAACATATGAAGAATAGTTGCAAGAACTGGTCATGTCTAGTGAAGAGAAGGACCAGGGGTGACATGATAGCAATGTTCCAATATTTGAGGGGCTGTCACAGAAAGGAGGGAGACAACCTAATTTCCAAAGCACCTGAAGGCCAGACAAAGAACAATGGATGGAAACTGATCAAGGAGAGATTCAACCTAGAAATAAGGAGAAATTTTCTGACAGTGAGAACAATCAACCAATGAAACAGCTTACATTCAGAAGTTGTGGGTGCTTCATCATGGGAGGCTTTCAAGAAAAGACTGGACAGCGACTTATCAGAAATGGTAGAGGGTCTCCTGCTTGAGCAGGGGATTGGACTAGATGATGCACAAGGTCTCTTTCAACTCTATTATTCTGACGACTACCCAGAAACTTCAACTGGTTCAGAATTTTTATTTATTATTATATTTATGTGCCACCCATCTTGTCAGTAGAGGCAACTGTGGTGGCGCACACAGTGATGAGTCCCCTTAGGGGACTTTTAAATGCTCTTGGTCATCCTTCCCTATTTTTAATGATCCAAATTTCAAAATATTGCCAAACTTTATGAATCTTATGACAGATTTATATTCAAGAATATAGAAAATGAATGATTGCTCAATTATTATAGCTAAGTGAATTCATACAATGAAATGACATAACATGCAACTTAAAAAATTGTCTCTACCTTTTTAATTTCCTTGCCCTCTGGTGGCTGTGTTTCCCCCAAGCACTTAAAGAGATCACGCTGCTGTATTTTACACAGAATTTCCCGTGCATCACTCAGCTCTGGTTCATCAGAATGTAGAATCTTTAAAAAGATTTCATCTGCCACAGTAGCAATATATAAATAATTATTCTCACATATATTTCTATTAAAGATTTCAATAATAAACAATAATGCAAACTAAAAGAAAGAGCGTGAGATCCGCTTTCTTGTCGGGCTGCCAGCAAGCAGCTGAGGCAGCTCCAGACTCCCGCTGCCCCTCCTGCTTCCCTGCGTGGTTGGCCTGTCAGAGCAGCAGTAGCTGCAGATGGGGCCCAGGCCAGGCAAGGGCTTCCTTCCAGCCATCCCGGGGCCATCTCTGCCCGCATCAATGGGGCTCTCTGGCCAGTTTGCCATGATGTAGGACAGCCGACAGGCTGTGGCTCCTGACAAACACCATCTGCCCCCATGCGCTCGCTGGCTTCTGTGTGCAGGGGTCGATGGTGTCAGGCAGCAACCAACCCTGCCTGGTCCTCACAGGCATCCCTCCCCACGAGCATCGTTGAGGTGGCCATACCCACCCTGGCCATGCCCACCCAATCAGCCATGGCTACTGCAGCCATGCCAACCCAGTCAGCCACGCCCACCCAGCACCCAGCAATAAATGTGGGGTTTGGGTTGCAGTTTGGGCACTCGGTCTCTAAAAGATTCGCCATCACTGGGATAAGATCTTTTTCCTCATTTTCTAATTCCACAAACCCTTCCAAACTATAGATTATATAACTGTAGTACCATCCAAAACAGTAAAGACCTGCAGAAATACCCAGTTTTTGAGACGATTTGCAGTTTCAGTGGAAACATTGTTATAGTATTATAGCACCTTGTTGCAAAACTGAAATCTGAGAGAAATACTTCTCATATTTAATGTGATAAGAATTTCTGGCAAACCCACATATTCACCTGTCAGCTTTGTATAGGCTTCCATGTCTTCCAGTGCTGTAGAGATCTGGAATACTTTTCCATCTGAGCCCTTTATTTTGATATGTGGATCAGCCTTTAAAAAGGCATCAGTAATCCTAATATGAAATGGATGATATGAACTGGAAATTATTAAAAACTCTTTTCCAGAAACTACAAATTTAATTGTACTTAAATATAAACATTTACCTTCTTCAATGAAATCTACTTTGACAATTATTAAGAGAGAAAGGAAGGAGTTTGTTCATCTGGGCTATATTAGCAGAGAAAAACAGTTAATTGGCTAGATTAATTTATTAAAAATATTTTGAGAGACCCATGATACTTCTAAGTATATTAACACAACTTATTCATAAAAAGTACAGCTAAACATCAGGCCTTATTGAAGCAGCATTTCCCTCCCTAATCATGTAGAGATATAACTTCTTCAAATAATATCTTGTTCATTGCAAATGTATGCAGATTTAAAACTATTAAAATGCATATTTTTATAAGAATTGATTTAATCAACATTTCCCACCAGAGTAGATCCTTTCAAACTTACATGGTTTCAATAATGTTGCCAACTTTATGCTGATATGCTCTGCGGTGCAGACAATTTCGTGTGTGGAACATATCATACACATTTCCAACCTCCTTTTAAATATAAAAAATATTTATCTTTGTTATTAAAACTATAGCTACAAAACAATACAGCATTGAGAACAGTATTACCAACTAATTCACAAAAACATCCACTTGCAAAATCTCTGACTCTCTAACGGTCAGGGATATATGAAATACTCACTCCAAATGCTCATTTCAGATGTACAGAAATGAATTCTGATGACTATTTTGAAGAAATACAGGATATTTCTGGAACATTTATTATGAATAAAATATTCACTATGTAATGCTATATATCAAAAGCTTAGATTGGTCATCCGATTCACAGCTTCTCATAAGTCTAAGTCTAAAGAGGATCACTCAAAGCTAAATGTTTATTACTGCAATCTTACTGTATCAATTTTACCATAGTTCCTTATACTGGAGTTTGTTTTTCTAAATAGTAATGTTTTTAAAAAAACTACTCTTGAACAGAGCAATATATGGACTCTATATTGACAATATATTGTATGAAAGTTCTATAAATATAAAATTATTTTAATCAGTGAAAAATTCTCCAACAGTTATTTTTGCAGTTTACATTGCTTTGTTGTTTAGATGATTTTTCTATCATTATGTCTTAGATATTTCATCTTATATTTTAGTAGACCCACAAGGCAATATTATATTCAGCATTTAAAATGACAGGTCATGGCTAAAATAGCCAGCACAGTGGAACTGAAGGGCCAGGCGGAAGCCCCATCTCCCCTCAAGTCTAGATCTTCCTTCCCTTCAAAGGGAATTTGCAAATCTTAAGTGAAATAAAAGGTGTCACGGGGACACTTCTGACCCTTATTTCTGCTTTGATGATGACGACGACAGCATATATCTGCAAAAATGCAATAAATAAATAAATAAAAATAAGCCATCCGGAGTCGTCTTGAGACAAGATGGGCAGCAAAAACAAATCTAATAAATAAAATATAGGTTAGAGATTACATAAAACAGCTTCTTGCCTTGATCGCTCTTTAAGGCTTTCAGCGCCACTCTTTCACCATTCAATAAACTCACTAACTTTGATAAGCAAAGAGTTAGCTTTCTAATCTTTGGAAGTCAGAATTTAGACTAGTAAGAAATCCAGTTCTAAAATTCTGTATTCTCCTTCAGAAGAACTATAACCTTTTCTTATTCCTGTCGTGTAGTTTGGATAACTGATACCTTTGTGAAATATACAAAATACACAATCTGTCCAAGGGAATTTACCTTGTCACGGGTACAAATATGCATCATATCTTTCACTTGGCACACCCGAGCAAATTTAATGAAGCGTTCATAATCAAAATTGTTTTGAATTCCAAGATGATGACAATCCCTGAGTATATTCCAAAAAGACAAATAAGACCATTCAAATATGTTTTTTTCAAATCTAGTTTGGATTTTATATTTTCTCATGAATACATTTACAATGATTATAATAAATATTATTGCACACAAATTAACATACAGTACTGATTTAAAATATTATTTATGGAAAGCAAAACAGTAGCAAAATTATTAAACCAAAATAGATGATGAACATGAAACAGGTCAATAATGTATTTCAACATTCTAAAAATCTATAGCAATCAACATTTTTAATGTTCATTTATTTGATTTTAAAGTCATGGTTATCATCTGACCAATATTCTTTCTCATTTTCCACCATATTGTTTTCTATGAATTAGAGATCCACAGGAATCATTTCACTCAGAAAAACATCAAATGTGGACTGGTGAGGATGCTTATTTTTACTCAGCTTCCTCTACAGCTTTCTGATATATTATTCTGCAGAATCAATAGAAAGAGTGCTATGGTCGAGATATTGTAGAGGTGGAATGAAAATAATTGAAAATTGCCATTTGTATTGATATCAACCTACTTTACACAGAACTAAATTTGGTACCAACGTATTGGCTTATCAAAGATTTCTCAAAATGATCCAATTAATAACTTAATTTCTTTATTTATTAAAATACATGATAAAGCTTGAGATAAAACTGAGCTAAGATCTACCCATTTCTTGCCCACTCTTGATATATATGAATAGAGTTTGGTATCCTCTGAAAGGAAACTACATTAGGTTATTTATTATTTCTATGTATGCTTGCCTTTACATCAAGATGACTAACAATTTAAAATAATACATAATAACATACAAAGCATAAAAACACTTAAAATCATTGATAAAATTCAAGGAGTCTAATTACAAAGAAAAATACATTCCTATTCTTTTAGAAATGGAAAAATTTCAGTTTCTTGAAGGTGTTGTGGGCAAAACTCTTCCAATATCACTTCTAAAAATGTTTTCAAGTCCGATAAATAGTAATGTTTCCATACCTGGCAAAGTAGTCCCATTTATCAACATCAATGCCACTTGTTTTGTTAGCCACTATTTCGTAAAGAAAACTCTTTTTTGGGGAACGACCATGATAGGGCCACTGAATGAGAAGGACAAAAATATAGGCAAATACTGTCTTCTAATCAATATTTTTTTACCTATTTCATGGTGAAAATAAATTACAATGGAACCAAGATTTTTAAGCAGTACCTTTCCAAAGTTTTGCAAATGCTGCAGCAAATTAATTCCTATAATCAGTATTTTATGAGCCATGATGGCGCAGTGGTTAGAATGTAGTATTGCAAGCTTACTCTGCTCATATTGCCAGGAGTTCAGTTCCTTCAATCCTGATGGGCTTAAGGTTGATTCAGCCTTCCATCCTTCTGAGACTGATAAAATGAGGACCCAGATTGTTGGGGGCAATATGCTAACTTTATAAACCACTTAGAGACTGCTGTAAAGCATAGGTGCTAAATTTAAGTGCTATTTTAATCATAAAGAATTAAAAAGCGGGAAGCCCCAGCCCGGCCCATGGAGGCGGGGGAGGGTGAGGCAGCAGCAGTGGTGGGAGAAGGGTGTCAGCAGGAGGCAGGACAGTAGTGCAGTGTCAGGGATGGAGGGGGGGGAGCAGGACAGTGGTGACTGTCCACAACAGTTTCAGTTTTTTATGTGGCCCTTGGGAAAATTAATTGCCCATCGATTATAGATGTATTCCATAATTATTCCCATTGCTGTACGATGCCTGATTTTAAAAAAAGTTTTGCATTTATATAGAGAGTTTATGTATGTGCCCTAGTGGGTGTCTTAATTCTGTATGACATTTCAAAAAATTCTTAGAAGCCTTCCCTCATTTCTGAGTTCAGTTTTTAATTTTGTTTAAAGAAAGATTTATTTTTTATTTGAACAGGATTGAAAAAACATTTATACATTTATTCTAATGATAGCTCTAAACATGTCAGCAAGCAGCATCTTCCACCCTCAGAAATGTCAAGACTAAGCCAAAGCCTTTCTGCACACAACAGTTTGCTGTCCTACTGAACTCTTGCACCTTACATATTAAAATAAGTAACTAACAGAAACTAATGACCTTGCCTTTTGCCTCTTTCCTTTTTTGATCCCAGTTCATTCTAGTAAACTGCACATTTAGGTAAGATCCGGGGATATGAAAAATGGAACTCACCTTTTTAACCCCCCTTTCCTTCTCAACAGGACTTGCTATCTGTTCTTTGATAAAATCTATGTCTTCATCCAACTTGAGACCATAATATTCCATTTTCGACCTTAGCTTATTGGAAGTGATTAAGTGTTCAAACATCTGAACAGAAGCCTGCTCATGCTGTAAACATAGATATAAATATATATTTGTTAAATCACTTTTTTTTAAGCATACGGCATACATAGTCAGGGGAGTCTACAATGCTCTGGCAGCTACTTTATTTTATTCACGCATGCATGCTATTCACGGGTACACTACAGGGGGCAAACTAGCTTTGCCCCAGCTGGCTAGCAGCTTTTGGTGGATGTCGGGTCATAATAGGCTTTCTTCCACTGACTTTGCCTTGCAACTGGGCAGGTCCAGCGCCGGCTCCCACTTCCACATGGAATGCTGCTAGTTTTTCCCACTGGAGAGATATCTATTTATCTACCGGCATTTTTACATGCTTTCAAACTGCTAGGGTGGGCAGGAGCTGGAGAAATGATGGAAGCTCAGTCTGTCACGTGGTGTCATGGGTTTGAACAGCCAGAGTGCCGACCATTTCTGATCAACAAATCCAGGGTCATTAAGCTGCTGCATCACTACACCCTCTTTATGTTAATCACAATATAAACTATCAATCAATCCAGCATAATTAATATTTCTGCTTAAAACTATGATTTAAATTTGGCTTATGAATCCTAGCTATTTTGAAGGTAATTTGCTATAGTTTTAAGTTTGTATGTATTGCAAACAATATTTAGTTACTGCAGTTATTGTTGCTTTTCTATCCATTCAGAGAATAAGCAACAATAAAATACTTGCTCCTAGAGCAGTGGTTCTCAACCTTTCTAATGCCGCGACCCCATAATACAGTTCCCCATGTTGTGGTGACCCCCAACCACTTATACATCACCGGGTGCCAGGGGCGTGGCCAAAGGGGGGAAAATGGCAGACAGCCTTGTTTGGCGACCCCTGTGAAATGGTCATTCGACCCCAAATGGGGTCCCGACCCACAGGTTGAGAACCACTGTCCTAGAGGTAATTGTCGACTTACGACAAATCATTTAGTGACTATTCAAAGTTACAACAGACTCTCCAAAAGCTATGGTTTCTCTTGCTGTCTTTGACCAGAATGTTAACTGTTGCTGCCTTCAAAAGAGTGACTTTTGTCTTTCAGAAACAGATGGAAAGATTGTCTACAACACAGTCCTTTCAGCCATCCCAAGAAAGTTCCGCACCCATTTGCACAGATAAATGCCCAACTGGCCTCAAGAACTCTCACACCGCTAATGATCAACCCTCAGAGTGCTAACAACCAGATGACTGCAGAGAATATAAAATTCTTCCATGCCCCACCATTCAGTCAGAACTGAAGAAGTTTCTTGGATGAGAAGCAAAACATTTTCAAGAAAAAAAATCCAAGAAAGTCTGGTTGCCTTTTGGAAAAGCACCTTTGGGACAACCATGACTTGGATGATTGAGAATCTCCATGGACATATCTCATTTACAATACATATAAATTTAATAAATTAAATAAAATAATACCCACCTTCCATTTTAATCCTGGGCGAGCAAGTGGCATGAATCCTCCATCAAACATCAAACCATGACTTGGATGATTAAGAATCTCCATGGACATGTCTCAATTACAGTACATATAAATTTAATAAATAAAATAAAATAATACTCACCTTCCATTTTAATCCCGGGCGAGCAAGTGGAATGAATCTTCCATCAAACATATGTGAAAATGGTCCATGACCTAAAAGTAAAGATTATGCAATTAATCTTTGTGGCAGAGTTAAGATGTGTGTATTTTTAAACACATATAGATATACTACTCAAATGTTCCTCAAATTATTGAGGTATTACTAAATTACAGCCAAAGTATTCACTTATTGTGTACTGAACCTGAATTGGTAATTTTTTAATACACTCCCTCTCTCTCTGATTAACAATTATACTAGAATTAAAATTTAAGTTTCTATCAGTTTTCAAAATATCGGTATTTTAATTGCTTGCGTTGAAAAAACCGTGTTGAAATAAGTAATTTAATTTATAGAGTAGAACTTTAGAAGCTAAAAGCAATATTAAGCCAAAGAAACAAACTAGAAGTCAAAGAAAATGGCATGTTCTTTCTGTTACATTATTCAAAACATGGTTTGTAATCAGTTCCTAAAAACAGAAAAACCTTAGCATTTGGACTTATATTTGTGCTAACTGGTAATACACAAGATTTATCTTTCTAACAACTCCACTGCATATTAAAACTATATTTAGTTTTCCTTTCACAGAATAATTATGCTAAAATATTGCCAGAGTTCCCAAAGCAAGATCTTCCTGCCTTACCTTTCTTTTAGATGTTTCTAAATGTTAACATTAAAATGAATAATATTAAAAAAGTTGACATGCTGTGAAGCAAAACAGTGTCATTAGAGTCATTTAAAGAATTATTTCTGTAAATATCTCAGAATTCAACACAAAAATGGTGGCTGGCTGCAACTTAGGTCTTTGTTATAAATGAACTGAAAGTAATCTGGGACCTGAAGGCAGGCAGCCTGAGGAACTAGGCAGGAACTAGCAGGGATGTGTTAATGAAGTAAAACATTGCAATAACACTCCTGACAAATTCAGTTGCTGGTCAGTGACTGTGATAAAAGCTATCTATCCTGTAAATTTTACAGCTACCTGCACAAAATAATGACAGCTAATTGGGGCTAAAAATAAGGTTTGCTATAATCTTTCAAAATATAATATTTTATGTATAATCAATCTTTCATGTATAACACAGCCCAGTTATTGTTCATTTATTCCTGCTTGCTCCATTGTATTCTAAATTATGCTAATCAAAGAAAATGTTTCGGTTACTTTAAACTGTGTTTAAGAATCTGCAACACTTTGTTTTTTTCCCACCCCCTTTTTCTCCTTGTCTCGTCTTTTGCTCTTCTGCCAAGGCTCCAGGCTCAGCTGGAAGAAGTAACAACTTATGTTTCTGGACTAATTGCCAGCTATTAAGCTATTGTGTACTCAGACAGAGCTAGAATAGATAAGGAAATTCAAAGGAACTTTTTAGACAAGCAAGAACTTTGTCATGTGTATTAGTTATAAAAAGCAGAATTTTTCTGATTAGGTTGTTCTTACTCTCCTCTGTCTCACAGCAGTGCATGCATGTGACAAGAGATTGAGACACCCAGTTTATTCCTTTGATCAAAAGAATAAACCTGTGTTTTTTTCAGTTGCCTTGTGTTCAGAGTCTCATTGGGATTTATTAGGATTCTGAGCTAAAAACCTTACACTATAAGCCTACAGTAAGTATATATATCCAAATAAAGAATGGTACAAAGCTAACAACAACAACAAAAGAAATTATTTTGACTCTAAAGCTCATTGACAGCAGAAATATACCGTATTTTCCGGTGTATAGGGCGACCCGTCGTATAAGACGACCCCTGACTTCGGCCCCGATTTCCATGCCTAGAAAGTCATCTTATACACTGGAAACTACCGTAATTTCCAGCATATAAGACAACTCGGCATATAAGACGACCCCCGACTTCGGCACCGATTTCCATGCTTTAGAAAGTCGTCTTATACGCCGGAAAATACGGTACTCCTGTGGATGTACAGCTCTATTTGTTTTAGCATACTTAACAGGATTGGCCTTGTGAACTTCTATCTCTCTCATAGGATTTGGGAAAGAATGTCACCCCACATAAATTACTTCTGTGTGCCATCAGTTGGTCACATTCCATTGGTGGAGAAGCACTGAATTACCACATCTCTACAGCAGATAAGAGTCAAAATAACAAATTCTAGTTGAGACATTTCATCATTAAATTGACTTTTGTAATCTCTTTGTACACCTTAGCCACATCAGCAACTGCATTTTAAATATTGATACAGTTTACATCAAATTAATATTTATTCTTTTGTATAGAAATTAATTTACCTGTCTCATGTTGAATGCAGTATTTTATAATTGTACCCTACTCTTTTTCCACAAGCATGAAATTTGTCCATTTTTCTATCTCAGGGCCAACATACATTTGATCAAGTGAATGCAGAAGTTAATACAGTTGCTAAGACTTCTGGTTTGCCAACGCGGCCGCCATGGACGTCGGAAAGACAAATTCTGTCTTCCACATCCAGTTTCACATCGCTGGGGGACCCTGGAAAGAGTCAAAAGTCACACCTGTAGGGGTAACCAGCAAGGAGGGGATCGCCGCTTGATCGCAGAAGAGCGGTAGCCCTTCCTCTTGATCAGGGGCAGGCCTCCAAACCGGCGGACAAAAGACTGGCCATAGCAGACAGCCGAAGTCACACTTACCACCAGGCAACTATAAAACAGCGCGGATGAGACTGGGTGAGATCTACCTCTCTTAAATCCTAACTATTTTTTTTATCTGCAAAAGCTGCTTAAAGTACTTTCCCCCCTGTGAAGAGGGAAATTAGATTTTACCCCTCCCTCCAGAAACAGCAGCAACTGACTATCCAGGGGAGTTTAAAAACATTGCAAGAATAATCTGATCCTAATTGGAATTTTAGTTTTTCAAGTTTGTGGACTAAAAGAATTTTAGAGCTATGTAACCTTGAGAAGCCCAGGTGTGTTCCATACTCAGTGACAAATTTTTTTTTCTGTATTCTCTGATTGCAAAGCTTTTAACCTAATATATTACAAAGAGAATATGGGTGAAGGCTAGGAACAGATTCTTTTTATGTTGAAAGCAATTCATCAAACTATTCTAACAGCTACTGATGAAATAAGAGGTTACAGAAAGGAACAAGATGTCAGCCCAGAGATACGAACTCGAACTTTGATTTCAACTAAAAAATGAACTACACAGAATACAACAGAAAAAGTAGAACAATTAAATATTATGACAGAAGACTCAATTGTCAACAAATACAGTCAATGGAAAATCCAGAAAAGGGACTGACAATATGGAAAAGGGAAAAGACTTTCTACATAAATCAGAAAAAACCTGAGGATCAAGAAGAAGAACAGACTGAAGAGAAGATAAACAGTTCAGAACAACTACGTCGAGATGGAAAAATAGAGAGATGATTTGTTAGTCCTCTCAAAAAAAATGGCGACCAGATGGTTTTTTCTACATCAAATCATATACATAATAATACAGGGAGATTTATTTGATGATTCAAAAGCACGGACATGGAAGACGATTTGGCAAAGAAAGAAAGCTAGAATAAGACTGAAGAAAATTGAGATTTTGACTTACTAGTGAGAATTAGAATATTCTAGAATATATTCAAATGTGTTCTTTGAATACTAAATATTGTAATGAGTGGAGATAAAGAAAACTTTGGTCATTTAAAACTTGGAAGTATAAATATTAACAGTTAAATCTGAATGTTGATTTGCTTATAAAGGTTAAATGTAAAGATAATTAAGATAGATATAAGCTAAAATTTATCGATGAATGTAATAAATATGTTTTTATTTAGCGGCAATAATAAAAATTATTAGCTTAAATATGAGATAGTAGATATCAAGAGAAAAAAAGAGGAAGTATTAAATGTTGAAATAACAGAAATTTTGATTACTAAATTTAAGATATTTGGAAATTACTAAAAAATAAGATTATATTGTATTATTGATTAGTTGATGTAAGATGGTGAGAACTCAAATAGATAAGGTGTATCCTGAACATTAGATCCTAAGATAAATTGTGATAAAGGGAATTGGGGTTATTTAAAACTTAGAAATTATAAATATTAAACGTTAAATTTAAACATTAATGGGAAACTAAAATTGGGAAAAACTAATCACGACAATGATTGTCAGAAAAAATTGAATGTTAAAACAATTAAGATATGTATGAACAAAAATTATTGATAAATGTAAGAAAGTTACTTTTATTTAAGCGATATAAACAAGAATTGTATTAATTTAAATATGAGAAAGTAAATACTAAGGGGGAAAGAAAGGAATTATTTAATGTAATAAATAATTTAATGTAATAATTTGAGATCTGTACTAAAAATAATTGTATGTTATTGAATTTTTGACCAACTCAGCCGCCACATTGCTTTTCAAATATTTAAATGTAAAATTAGAAAATTAATAAAAATTGTTCAAAAAAAAGTTAATACAGTTGTTAAAACTGTCACAAGAAATAGTTTGAAATGGTATAAAATGTGTATATACATATTACTTATTAGCAAAAAGATTACTTACCCAAATCATGACAAAGTCCAGCAATCTGAACACAGAGAATATCCCTTTGATCAATATTCAGTTCCGGTTGTCGTTCTTGCAACGCCTGCACCAAACGGCCTGCGAGATGACTAACACTTTTCCAAAAAGGGAAGAAATTATCTTTTTATGGCTTGAATTTAAGATTTATAAATAAAATGGGAATTTAAGTTACAAATGTAATGCAATTATGAACTGCTATAAGGCTTATTTAAATTCTGAATTTCAATATTATAAGATAGAGAATATTTCACGTTAAAAGATCTTTGTTTTGAACAATTAAATCTTCCTCATGCATCCACTTAATGTCAAACAAGGAAGAAATTTTTTTAAAGGAAGAAAACAATATCTGCGTATTCTTGCCTGTATTTTATATACACTATGTAGAGCAGTGTTTCTCAACCTTGACAATTTTAAGGCATGTGGACTTCAACTCCCAGAATTCCACAGCCAGCATTGCTGGCTGTGGAATTCTGGGAGTTGAAGTCCACATGCCTTAAAATTGTCAAGGTTGAGAAACACTGATGTAGAGGCAAGTTTTCTTTGGCTCAAACAGAAATTAAGAAATGTTTTCCTCTCTCTTGTTTATTTTTGCATGGAGCATGGAAACCTTACAATACAGAAATTCTCTCTACACAAATCCCAGTTTTATTAATGTATTCAACATAATAAACTGCATTATATTCAAGATACTAGCTATATAAGTCAAGTAGTCTTTCTTTTCAACTACAATTATTAGTGGTGATTCCCAAAGTTTATGAAAAAATACTATGTATTGTAAATTTTAAGTATAGTTAAATATGCAGCATCATAAAGCAAAATTTAAATATAAAAATTTCCATCAATGGAAAACATATAGCAGGAACTGGTTATTTTAAAAACTTCAGTAGAATCTTTTTACTTATACAAAGGCAATTCCTGCGTATAAACAAGTAAACAGTACTCCTTACCCAAGAGAATGTTCAAAGCGATTGTGTGATGCTCCTGGGAAAACATAATAAGTGCCACCCAACTGTTTAATATATCGTAGACGCTGAAATTGAGGTGTGTCAATAATGCAAACAAGAAGAGGATGCATTTCAATATGACCATGGATTGGATCATTAAATACCTGGAAAAAGCAAAACAAAATTTTAAAATATCCGTTAATCAATGATGAATAATGTTTCAATCAAGAATAAACATTGCCTTTTTCTAATTCTAAAAAATTAAGATAAACACCAGGATAATTAAAAGCCCCTGACTAACAAGTAACAAGTAGCCCAAATGAAAATCAACTGGGACAAATTCATCACACATATAAAACAAAAATTGAAAAATCTGGAGTAATGATTTTAATACTCGTGTGGAAAATGAAAATATTGGCTATTGTTCTTCTATGCAAGGTTTAGGCCCAGGTAAACTAAATCAGGCCTCATGGAAAAAGTATTGAACCAAAGTTTGTGCTATGCTTAATTTTGCAGTTTGCAACTGTACTTTACTTAATAAGATTTTGCTAAGCTTGCTTGAAGCAGTAGATGTGAACTTAAATGGACTCCAGAAGATGGTAGAGGACAGGAAGACTTGGAGGAATGTTGTCCATGGGGTCGCGATGGGTCGGACACGATTTCGCAATTAACAACAACAAAGCTTGCTTGTTTCAAATATATTTAGAACATAAGGAATGGAACAGTAAGATATAGGGAATTGAAAGTAGCTGATGGATGTGGGTTCCAATGTACACGAGTATGTGGAAAGTTATGTTCAGCAGAGCGTCAGAAGGAAGTCAGCAGAAAGTCAGCAGAAAGTATAAGATTGCTGACCATCTGTCTACAGTCTTAGGATGGGAAAGGGTATAAAGAGTTGAGACTGGACCTGATTGATTTACTATTGGCCTATCCCTGTCCTTATTGGAATTGCTATGTCATTGGACCTCATTGCAATGAGTTTTCTACGTAAGTGATGTTGTGTTATTATGTTTGCTATGTTCCAAATTATTAGCAAAATAAACCTCTGAATCTTAAAGTAAGAATTATTGTTTTGTGTTGCTGTCTCGTCTTTTTCATTGGGTTTTTCCACGACACTTGCTATTATCTTTCTTCTGCCATTCTACTATAGATGGCTACTCTCTTACCATCTTGAAGAGATTTGGAGTAGAAAATAAAGCCTGTAGATAAAGGAGGATTTTTTAAAGTTATCTGTTTTAAGATTATGAAAATTCTTATGGAAGGGATGGACCTCGTTATGTTTTTTTAAAAAAAAAAAAAAGCAGGGAATTTTAACTTTTCAGATTTTCAGTTTTATCTTTGGGGTAATCTAAACTTCCATTTCATCACAGAATTTAAGTAATTTTTAAAATAATATAGGCATACTTAGAAAGTTAATATTTGTCCCCCTTCATATTCTGGAAAGATCTTGGTTCTGCTTTTACTCAAATATCTGTTGCCCCCCTTTGTTGCATTAGATGTCATAAGACATATTTGGATGCTACTGGGAAGGAAGCTTAAATCAGATCTCGATTATCAAGAGAAATTGACACTTTAACATAACTCCAGTTTGAGAACTGCAGGTAATAAGTGATTATTTTCCAGCAATAATCTTCCCTGTGTTCAAAGTTTCATATATGATTAAATAACTGATCTTCTGCTTAACTTTGTTCTGGTTATGTGGGATTTTTTGCTTTATTATAATGATTTATTATGTGCTATCAGGTCAATGCCGACTTTTAGTGACCATATATTTTTTTCAAAGCCACTGTTGTCAACTTAGTCTTTTAATTCTTCCAATGGTAAAGCCTTGCTGTTGGTCATCTTCCTTTCCTCTTTACTTCCATCCTTCCCAGCACTGTAGAGTTTTCCAGAGAGTTAAGTCTTCCCATAACGTGTCTGAAGGATGACTTCAGTCTGATCATTTGTGTCTCAAATGGTTACTCTGAGTTGATTTGTTTGATGATCCATTTGTAAGATTACCATGTATAAAGGAGGAGGTTATAAGTTTTCCAAGCAAAAATATCAAATTAATGAAATAACTACAGTACTTGTTATTCTAGTTGTTAGAATACACTAAATTAAATGTTCAAAGGGCACACAGAGGCATGGAAGAAATTAGCATATCCAGTTGATGAACATCAGTGAAAGACAATTTCAGCATCTGTTGGCTATTATTTTTATCATTTTAAGATTATAGTTAATTTAACAGAAAGTATAATTTTTTGCTGGATATCTATATATCCTTTCAGAACGAATGTAATGTAATATCAGCTAAACATTGGAGATGCATAATTCAAAATACAACATTGGTTCATGCAATCCGTTTCCATTGAAAGGGCTGAAAGGATTAGCTGGTAACATCACCATTGCCCAGTTGGGAGGCCCTTTCATGTCCCCATTAATGTGACCACCAAAATGGTACCTATCTATTTGTGATTGCTCGCTTTTGAACAACTAGGTCACACAACAGCATTCGGGTCTCAAACCCAGACTATACATCAACCCAGAGTCCTAATCACCAAGATCCTATGATTCATATGATATGGCCTTCTGTTACAGAGACTTCATTTTAAACAACTGTTATTTCACACATTTTGTTTCAAAGTTGAATTTTATAGATACTAACATTCTTTTGAATTATATAACAATGATTTTGAAATTAATGGGCAGACAGAAAACAGACCAGGTGGTTTTACAATTGTAAAACAACACCTAAACAAACATATAAAAATGAAAGCATGTCTATTCTCTACCACTGATGCAATATCTAAAGACTTCTGTTATATTCTAATAAACATTTTATAGCCAGGTTAAGTATTAAAATTATATAATATTACAGCAAGACTAATTTTGTTTGGTATCAACCTTTTTCAACATACATAATAAATAAGAAATTGTTCTCTCACTTTTGTTATATCAGTTTGACTTTGACTTTGTGCCAGTTGGCGCACACAAACTAGCAGCTTCTCTTTCACTCCTACAGCTCTGAAAATGAAGCATATAATGTGACTTAAACAATTATTCAATATTTTATTTAGTAATGAACTTAGTAGCAATTAATTTAGCTTCCATATTAAGACAAGAATTTTTACAGAAATTTTTAGTAAAATGTCTTCTGGCAGAAAGTGATGGTGATAAACCACTGATTTTTAAAGGATAACTTCATGAACAAAAAGTACATTTATTCTTATTTTAAATAAAATAAAATAGATTTAAATATTTTATTTAAATAAAATAAAAATAGATTTACATTTCCACATTAACTTGATTAATGAGAACATATACATATATTTCATTTTCTCATTTCATCCGGAGCAATGTTCTGCAGATTTTAGCTAAAAATGACATGCATACTATATTTTTATTTACATCCTGCAAGCAAAGCAGTATCCACTATTAGGATGTGTTATAGTAGTGTCAATTCAAGGATGCATGGCACCCCTAAACCACAATGACAAAAGCAATAATCCTTTGGCAGAAGTCAAAAGCTTCTTAGTGTGACTTAGGGCTGCAAAGACCTGCACAACTTTGATTAGGGCCACAGTTCTTATCAAAAAGGATACAGATAAAAGAAATAAGGAAGGTTACAAGGATCAAGTGAAACAGACAACAGGGTACAGGAAACAGAAACAGGACATAAAGTTAGAAAATAAAAAAAGGAACATAGTAAGAACATAAATAGCATTAAAAGGACAACATTATATAAGATAATAAGATAAAATATATAGTAAGATAAATTCTTATTAAAAGTAAGATATTACTAACAATAAAAGATAACACAATGCTATATCATCAGGGAAAATCTTTATTTTGTTATTCACTAAGAAAAGTTGCTTATTATATATATATTTATTATAATAAAAACATTTGCTAGTATACTGTTGAGTTTGTGTTATCCTTGAAATTATGACAGCATGTAACAGAGAAACTTGTCACAATGTAGATAGTGTATTCCATGTTTGTTATTTTGGATAAATGATGTGTGAACTAGCTGTCTATCAACACAATGGAAAGACAAACTTATATCATTGTGTGTGGGCAGGGTATAAGCAAAGTTTAAAAACAGAGGTTTTAAAATGTTTTGGTATGTATTATGTTTTCATTTTATTTTTTGTTTTTGCTTGTATTTTTGCTTTTTTATGTCTTCCAGTTTTTTTGTTTACCAAGGCAATATAAAAAATCTTCCTAAAGTCAGCTTCTGAAAACTAAAGTCACTTCAGGCAAACAAGAATAACGCAAAACCAAAGAGCTCTGCAGATGCAGAAGACATACAATTCTTATAATTCCTTCAATTTGAATAAATAAAAAAGTTGCTTACCGAATTCCCATTTTTTCAAGATGAGGTTCAGTGAGATATGGTACAGTTGAACCGGTTATTTTATGTTCTAGGGAGTTAAATACATACACTTTAACATTTCTTTCTGAAATTGTCATTTTGAAATTATTTGGGAGGTTACAGGACTACAATTAATGAATATACATTAATAACCCTGAAATATATGCAGTATTTGCTTTGATTCATGCAATCATAAATTCTTCAGAGAAGTCATGAAAATATAGAGTATGAAGAGGCTAATAATCCAGGCAACATAAATATTTAATAAATTATTAGAATTAAAGGTACATCCTGTAAATTAATTCTTCATGTTATTCTAAAGAGTGATTCTTCTTGTTCCATAAATATAGGAAAACCTGAATATTGCATTTACCCTAGAATAAATTAGCATAATCAGAAGATCTCCAATACACATTGCAAAACTTCCCTGTGGATACAGGAAGGAAGTTACATAGTAAAGAATGTGGTCTTGCCAGTGCCCTGAAGATTTGCTACTTGCAAAGTAGTTTGATCTTGCTTACTTTAATTTTTTTCTTCTGAAATGTTGACTTGCCAGTTATTAAGTATTAAGATATTTTATTAGAGCATTACTGTCAGACCTGCCACAAATTTAAACCTCTAAATACAAATGATCCTTGGCTCCATTTGTTGAAAAAGTTATAATTTTATTAGAAGTCAAGTGCATTGCAGTAGTGCATAGCCAGAACTGAAAATCGGGAACCAAAATCTCTAAGTTCAATTTTTACCTCTCTTAGCTGCCTCCCATTGCCCACCCCTGTGCGACCAGTAAGGTTCAGACAGGATGTTTTCGTAATGGTCAATCCAAGCACTAGAAGATATGCAGCTGGTATGCCAGGTGACCTTGAAGCAGAATCTCAAAGAGATACAGCATTCACTTTTGTTTTGCCCCTTGCCTTCCTTACCTCCCCATAGTACATGGCAGTCTGTTATTGTATTCTAGCAAAGGACAAGCAAGCATTAAGGTGGCAGCTGACAATTACAGTTTTATTAAGATTCATTTTGTTTTTTAAGATATTGTTGGCTTTCTTACTTTTCACAAGCCTTAAAGATAGCTTACCCAAGGAAATAAGATAAGGTATGCATTCACAGGATAGCTTCACTTTAGATAAATGTATTCTCAGAAAAGTTAGAGGCCCTAGTAAGGACAGGTGATTGAATAAGGGAGTGATATTTCATAGGAGGGTTGATTATAAGATGTATAATGTGTGCTGAATGGGTGAGGGGGGCTCTGCAGTTATCACTCTTGAAAAATAAAGTACTTAATTTCATGCCTGTTGTTTCTTTAATCTCAATTCATGACAAACTTGTTAAGGAATAAAATTTCAACACAATTTAGCCTAGCTGTCTCCCATCCCACACTTGACCCTGGTTAGTTTCCAACTTGGGCAAGCCACCATTTGCAAAATCTCTACTGTATTTACCCAGTGTAATTATTTTATAGCCAAACTCATAAAAATTATACTTAAAATCCTACAGATTGATCAGAAGTTAATATAATTATCATCATAATACATTTTAGGAAAACTTCAGTTTAAAATGTGATAAATTTGAACACTGACAGGGCAAGCCACTAGCATATAAACTGACAGCAAACCACACTCCTTATTAGCACTCTAGTTATCTAGTTTGGATAATGAAATGTCTGCAAGAAAACAAGCAAGCTCAGAAAGCAGCAAGGATGCCTCAGATAAATTTGAATTATATTTTCTAGCAATTCATTTCTAGAATCACATTTTTTCAGATATCACAGATACAATAAATAAAGATTGCCTGTATGTAAGCAAAGCTGGACATCAGTTTTAAACTTAATATATCACCTGTGGCTTGTAGGAGTAGGCTACAAAAAATCACTAATAGCCCAAACTCACCCAGTGAAGAACCTCCTAGCAAACAGAGTTGAACTTAAATTCCAACTTCCTAATCCACTTACCTAAAAGCTCTTTATACTGTAACCCAGGGGTCTTCAAACTCTGCCCTTTTATGACTCATGCACTTCAACTCCCAGAATTCCTCAGCCAGCATGCCTGGTTGAGGAATTCTGGGAGTTGAAATTCCATGAGTCATAAAAGGGCCAGGTTTGAAGACCTCTATTGTAACCTAAGCAAGACATTTCACAGAAAGATAGAGAAAGCAAGATTATTGCCAGGTGATTTCAATTCAAATAGTATTCAGAAGTTAGCAACAATCAATTAAGAATTGGCTGTAGCAACATTAGGAGGTAAATGAAATGATTGCTTCTGGAGGTAAGGGTAAGTTCCACAGGCAGGATTAGAAGCAATCTAGAGCCATTTCTTCAATGATTTATAGCCTCAGCCAACAATTGCTGCATTGATGTAACTGTAACAAAATAGCCCTGATGTTGCTTTTCCAAAGACAGTATAAATCAAAAGTCAGGACATCATCCAATAGGAAACAAAGTGAGCAACATAAATACTAATTCTATGAAATTCATTTTAAATAATCAGCATAATAGCATGTTTGTAAACATATAAATGTTCCCATTGGAAAAAATGGCCCTTTTCCTTTTATCATGATGGAACCTATGTTTTGGATAGAATGAATGATGGCTTAAGATGAGCTATTGGGATACAATCTGATTTGCTACATATTCGTCTTGAATTAAACCAATAGCACACCATTTTTAATTCATTTTAAAAGATGTGCTGCTTAGGTCCCTAGATGACAATGTTTAAGAGACGGGACCTAGAATGTACCCATTCTATTTTACCTAGAAGCATGGGCAGATACCCTCAAGACAGGGGATCCATAAGTAGCCTAAGCCCATGACATTTAAGACTTTAAAGGTGACAAACACTATCTGGAAAGAAACTGGAGCCATTGCACCTCATGCAATAGTGGTGAAATGTGGACAAAATGTGAGACATCTAGGACTGCAAATACCATCACATTCTGGACTAGTTGTAATTTCCAGATGATCTTCAAGGGCATTCCCATGTAGAGCCATTGCTGTAATTTAACTGGGAAATGACCAGAGTTTGAGTTACTGTGAGCAAACTATCCCAGTCCAGGAATGACTGCAATTGGTGTATGAGATGGATCTGTCTAAAGGCCCCCATTGCCAGGACTACCACCTTTCCTCAAGCAGAAGTTACAAGTCCCCGAGTAGCCCCAAACTGCGCACCAGCTGTGACTGGTGGAACACTAGCCTGGCAAGAATCAAAATGACACATTCCTGGAATCAGGAGTCCCAAAAATCCAGACCCACTTGCTAGGGCTAAGTTGAAACTGGTTCTTCCTTATCCAATCCCTTGCAGCTTGCAGGTACTAGGCCAATCCCAGGATAGTATCACTTAGCCAGCAAGAAACAGAGATGTATAATTAGGTATCCTCAGCATGTTGATACTACACTTGTGAGATTAGGCTGAAGCTGCGGTAACTAAAGATAAATCAAATGCAAAAGCAGAGAAGACAAAAGCCAGGAATCTTACTGAAAGATCCCTCAGGAAAATAGATAAGAAATAAAGCCATTAAGAAAACAAAGGAAAAATGTCACCTGAACCAGTCAAAGGAAGTTGGGCCTGAGCATGAAAAAAGATACAATCCCAGCTAACCAACAAAGCAAGAACTTTGGGGAATAAAAAGAGATCCTAACCTAGCCTATTCCTAGAGTCATCTTTGGATTCAGACTTGGCAGCCTTGTTTAGAAGGACATTGGTATGTGTGTGAAGGAGACAGTATTATACATTATACCAGTAAAGTTTTGTTGTTAGTTTAACCATGTCTCTGTGTATTTCAAAGAAAACATTGTGCCTCAGTGTTCACCTGAAAGTGATTTCTGTGTGTCCCTAGTTATTTCCTGGCTGTTGAACAGGAATTTGTGCCTTATCTATAGCAGTTGATCTATCTGGAAAACCCACTTAGGAAGCAAGGGAGGCTTGCAAGATCTGCATGTAACACACTGCATGATATCAGATGACCTCTCCTGGTCTCTTGAGAAGGAGGCATATATCAATACTTCCTTCAAAGTGGGCAGCACCAGCTTTTCCCAACATAAAGCATTGATTATCACATGGACCCAACCAGAGGCTTTACTTTTATTATTTTATTTATTCATCCCAGCTTTATTTTATAGGTGCAAGCATACATAATACGACAGGATCCAATCTGGAGCAGTCACCAGGACCAGAGGTTTAGTCTTTTGAGCTTTTGAACTTGTGCTGGAGCCCATCCTCAAGGAATTTCTCTCTCACCAGAGACATTCTTGTGTGACACATGCTGAGAGAAAAGTTCCCTGAGGATGGTCTCCAGCACAAGTCCAAAAGCTCAGTAAACTAAACCTCCGGTCCCAGTGACTGACCCAGATTGGATCCTGCAACATTATCCTGGGACACATACAATTGCCTTCATTTGTGATACTTAGCACTCCTTCCTTGTCCTATTTTCCCCACAACAAATCTGTGAGGTGCATTGGACTGAGTGAGAGTGACTGGCCCAAAATTGCTAGCCACTTTCATGGCTAAGGCCAGACTAGCTCCTGGTTTCTAGCCTGCTGCCTTAACCACTAGACCAAAGCAGAAAGGGGCACAGGTCCAAAATATAGGTGGTAGAGCTTACAGCCCCAAGGATTCTGTCCAATTCTTTTGCATTAACTGGCTCAACTGTTCTAATTACTTTCAAAAAATCTGCCCAGTTAGCAACTAACTCCAAGAACAGTCAAGCAATTTTATCTAACAGATGCTGAGAATATTCTTCACAGTGAGGTTTGCTACGCGGCTGCCATAGATGGTCGGAAGATGATTCTCGTCTTCCCCGTCCAGTTTTGCATCGCTGGGGGAACCCTGAAAAGGGTTAAAAGTCACCCTGTAGAGGCGACCAGCAAGGAAGGGCTATTGCTGGATCACGGGAGAGCGGTAGCTCTCCCGCTGGAGCCGGCGATCCCTACAAACCAGAGGACGAAAGACCGGCTATAGAAATATGGCTCATTACTAGGCTGTAGACAGCTGAAGCCACACTCACCATCTGGCAACTTCAAAACAGCATGGAAAGGGCTGGGTGAGATCTACCTCTCTTAAATCGTAATTGCTTTTTTGTACCTATTCAAGCCACTAAAATACTTTCCCCCCTGTAGAGAGGGAAGGGGGATTTTGCTCCAGAAACAGCGGCGATTGACTAAAACGTTGAAAAAATACTGGGATCCTAATTGGAACTCTACTTCCTAACATTGATGGCATTACAAGATTTGTAATTTTCTAATCTTTATTTTTCTCGAATTTTTATTCGCCATTTTTACTGAAGATATGGGTTTTTCTTTTAAAATAGAAGAAAAAAACTGAAAAGATCAAAGCAATTCTGGGGTGACACCTGGTGGCTAAACCTGAGATTTCAACTTGTTACTGCCTAAGAGAGACTTGTTGACAGTTTAGAAAATAGATAAGATATAATCAACCTTGAAACACCAGCTGCAAGAAGCTCAGCTCTGCTCTTCACTTAGTGGACATTTTGACTATAAGCTTTCAACTTAATATACTACAATGGAAGAAGAACAGGAATGAACTTTTCCTACAGAGGAAGAACAGGAACAAACTCTTTGCATGTTAAAAGCAATTGCCCAAACTTTTCTTACAATTGGTGATGAAATAAGAAAAGGCAGGAAAAAACAAGAAAGCAGCCTGGATATGCAAACTCAGATTATGACTTCAACTAAAGAATCATCTATACCAGTGATGGTGAACCTTTTAGAGACCAAGTGCCCAAACTGCAACTCAAAACTCACTTATGTATTGTTGGGTGCTGGGTGGGCATGGCCCATTGGGTGGGTGTGGCTGCAGTTGTAACACAGACTGGGTGGGACTAAAAAGTTCAATCAATTAGTTCCAACTTTGCGAGATCTTTTTTTTTTCCTGCAAGAAGTTGAAATTGATTGAATAATTGAACTTTTTTTTTTTTTGCACACGGTGGCACAGGCCTAAAGCAAAAAGGTTTTCATAAAACCCAGCTGAAGCCCTAGCACTGGGGCGACGGCGCACGTGCCATAGGTTCACCACCACAGATCTATACAGAATTCTACAGAGAAAGTGGAACAATCAAATGCTATGATAGAAGATTCAACCACTCAACAAATATAGATAATGGAAGATACGGAAAGAAATTGATAATAGAGAAAAAGGAAAGGACTTTTTTTATGAATCAGAAGGAACCTGAAGATCAAAAAGAAAAAGAAATGAAAGAGAAGATAAACACTTTGGGAGATGGAAAAACAAAGAGACGACCTGTTAGATCAGTTAGTCCTCTTTTTAAAAAAGGCAATTGGATGTTTTTTTCAAAATCAAACATCAAAAGAGCCAAGGTTGCCTACCCATGCCACAGACTAAAAAGAAGAAAATCTGGATCATTTCCTACTATTGATATAAAGTGCTATCCAAACATCCTCGAGAAGGCATGCAGCTATATTGCTATGGAATTTGTTCTTCCATTCTCAATCCCATTCCTACCACCACCATGGGAATAAGAAGGAGACAAATCCTACCGGTAGCAGAGTTTAAATATGCTGAGGCTGCCTTTGAATTGGCATAGCGGAGAAAACACTTAACAGCTGCACAAATAAGAATGATTCAAGACGTCTCATTCACGGCTGAAGACCAGATGAAGCCAAACACGGCAGGTGTACCGTGGCTAGGAGCATGTCGAGGAAATCCCTTTGGATTCCGAGATTTTTTTTTTTTTCTACAGTAGAAAAAGAGCCTGTCCTATGTTCACTGGCGAAGACGGGCATCACTTTTGGAGCGCCCTGCACCAAACGGTGCAAGAAAATCTTCGAAACAAAAACCTTTCCGAATCTAGTCTCTCTTTCGGCAAGATTCAAATGTCGGGCAAACGCCCACAGCAACACTAGATGGCGGCTCCTCAATAAACCTTCCCGCGACCCGACCCGCAGTTACATTTGCCGGCTTTCCCCCGCACCTCGAAAGCACTGCAGCTCCGCAGCTTCCAAGCCCTGTTCCTGAAGGAAGACGCACAGCTGCTCCGTGTCCCAGAATCGAAAATTGAGCTTAACAGAATCCGCCGAGCCTGTAGCGGTAACGCTGCGCTTTTGAGGCGTCTGAAAGCCATCGGCCGGGCTGGTGGGCCGGGCCCGTTTATGGGCGCCTTCCCGGTTATCGTTCGACATCGCTCCGCCGCTGTGATGAGGAGAAGCTCGAGCAGCGACTTCCCTTCGCTCGCGCGGGCTCCGGACCCGCCCCCCGCTGCCACCTCACGTTGCCACCAGCGAGTCCAAGGAGGGAGGGAGCCACGTGACTGCTGCTGGCTTCTCGGGAGGGGTGACCATGCAGGGAAATTTTTGCGCGCCTCGGCCCCGCTGCACTTACCCTGCCACGTTAACAGAGCTGGAAACGCGTGGGAATAAGAGCCGGCCTTGATACCACGGCCCACCAAGGGAAAGCGTCACCCACGTCCACCCGTCCTCCCCTTTACTATTTCTGGCTTCTCTGCCCCCTTTCCGAGAAATGAGCAGTCCAAAGCTCATGGCTGTATCCAGGATGATCAGAACAAAGGATATCTTTACCCAGGTTCTGAGGTCTAAATCGGCCTGCTTGTCGATGTTTTCAAATAAAAAGGCAGTAATCCTTTTTTAAAAAATACACATTCAAGTAGTTACAAATTTAATAATAATAACAGTAAAATTGGAAGGGACCTTGGAGGTCATCTAGTCCAACCCCCTGCTCAGGAAGGAAACCCTATACCATTTCGGACAAATAGCTGTCCAGTCTCTTCTTAAAATCTTTCAGCGTTGGAGCATTCACCGCTTCTGGAGGCAGGTTGTTCCATTGATTAATTGTTCTCACTGTCAGGAAGTTTCTCCTTAGTTCTAGGTTGCTTCTCTCCTTGATTAGTTTCCACCTGTTGCTTCTTGTCTTGCCTTCAGGCGCTTTGGAAAATAGCTTGATTCCCTCTTCTTTGTGGCAGCCCCTGAGATATTGGAATACTGCTATCATGTCCCCCCTCGTCCTTTTCTTCGTTAAACTAGGCATACCCAATTCCAGCAACCGTTCCTTATATGTTTTAGCTTCCAGTCCCCTAATCATCTTTGTTGCTCTTCTCTGTACTCTTTTTCTACAGTCTCAACATCTTTTTTACATCGTGGTGACCAAAACTGGATGCAGTATTCCAAGTGTGGCCTTACCAAGGCATTGTAAAGTGATATTAATACTTCATGTGATTTTGATTCTATCCCTCTGTTAATGCAGCCTAGCACTGTGTTGGCCTTTTTGGTAGCTGCAGCACACTGCTGGCTCAATTTTACTATTTACTTTACTACTATTATTATATTTAGGTGATTGTCTACTAGGACTCCAAGGTCCCTCTCACAGTTACTACTATTGAGCAAAGTGCCACCTATGCTGTACTTGTGCATTTGGTTTTTCTTGCCTAAATGTAGAACCTTGCTTTTTTCACCATTGAATTTCATTTTGTTAGTTAGTGCCCAGTGTTCAAGTCTGTCCAGATCCTTCTGTATCTTAAGCCTGTCTTCTGGAGTGTTGGCTATTCCTGCCAGCTTGGTGTCGTCTGCAAATTTGATGAGTTCCCCATCTATCCCTTCATCCAAATCATTGATAAAGATGTTGAAGAGCACTGGGCCCAGAACAGAGCCCTGGGGCACCCCACTACACACTTCCCTTCACGTAGATGCGGTTCCATTGAGGATCACTTGCTGAGTACGGCCGGTCAGCCAGCTACGGATCCATCTGGTGGTGATTCTGTCTACCCCACATTTTTCTATCTTATCAAGTAGTAGGTTGTGATCTACTTTATCAAATGCCTTACTGAAGTCCAAGTAAATTATGTCCACAGCATTCTTCTGATCCACTAACTTTGTCACTGGATCAAAGAATGCAATAAGATTTGTCTGGCATGATCTATTTTTGATAAACCCATGTTGACTTTTAGTAATGACTTTGTTTGCCTCTAGGTGTTTGTTGATGCATTGTTTGATTATCTTTTCCAGGATCTTCCCAGGTATTGAGGTCAGGCTGATAGGTCTTAATTTCCTGGATCCATTTTTCTTCCTTTTTTGAGGATGGGAACTACATCATCTCTTTTCCAGTCCTCTGGTAGTTCCCCTGTGCTCCAGGATCTTTGAAAAAATATAGTTCAGTGGTTCCAAGATCACATCTGCCAGTTCCTTGAGAACCTTGGGGTGTAATCCATCTGGTCCTGCGATTTGAACTCATCTAGGCTGGACAGGTGCTCACTTACCATTTTCTTGCCTATCTTAACTTGTGTTTCTATTCTGTTTTTTATGGCGCTATTTTTGATAGGCTGGTCTGTTTTTTCCCTTTGTGTAAAGACAGATGCAAAAAACGAGTTAAATAGTTCTGCTTTCTCCCTGTTGCTTGTCACCTTCTTGCCACTTTCACCCACTAATGGACCAATCATTTCCTTCACTTTTTTCTTGTTTTTTTACATGTTGAAAGAAGCTTTTTTTGTTATTTTTGACTTTGGTCGCAAGCTTTAGTTCATTTTGAGCCTTGGCTTTCCTCACCTCAACTTTTTCATCTAAAAACAAGATATGCTATGTAATTCCGTCTTGCAATCTCACATCTCCAAATCTCCGGATGTACTTCTCTGCATTTCTTCTCAGCCCTGCCCACCCACCCCTTTTCAGACATGAGTGTGAGCCTTGGAGTCAGTGTTGACTCCTGGTGACCCGGCAGTTTTCTTGGCAAGATGTAAGAAGTGGTTTGCCATTGCCTGCCTCCTAGAGCTGGCTTTGGCAGGACTAGCCATCAGGTTTCTAGCTTGATGGCTTAACTATTACAATTTCAGGGCATTTTACAGTACTTTTTTTTAAAAAAAAACCCTTCCTTCCCTGAGGTAATATCTGGAATATAGACAAAGAGTAAATTGCAAAATATGTGTGCAAATACTGAGTTTTCAAGAATCCTTCCTCAGGAAAAAGTAAAGCAAGAGACAGGAGGAAAAAAAACTCATTTAAGACAGATTGGTATTGTAGTTTTAGATTTTGTTAAATTTTAAAGGGCAAATATTTTGTGAGCAAACTACTCCATGATCAATTGTTGCTTGATCAATTGATACTTGGTTTTATTATTTCTATAGTTGTATGTTTCTTAAAGTGATGGAAAGGCTAAAATCCCCCTCACCTAATATCTTTATATTAGAAATCTAAAACTTAGAAGTATATAGGCCTTGATACTTAGTAACCTGCTAGTCTGAAAAGGTCAAGAATGCTTACAAAAGCTTGCTCAAGTGAAACCTCAGACATATCATTGCACAAGGCAACAATTTGGGAAAAGAGGAACTTGTATAATATACTGTTACTGGAAATTAGGGACAAATATGCCGATTGCTACTAAATAATGCTGATGTTACCAAGCAATATTGGCTGAACTCAGGTAATGTGGACAGTTACCTAAAAGGGCTTGACTTAAGGTGAGCTTATGGAGAAGTTAACTGTAAAAATTGTACTATTGAGGGAGTAGCCTTTGCACCACCCTACTGGAATGATCTCTGTGTCCTTTTTCTGCACAGAATAAAATATTTTGTAATCTCCACCTCAGAGTGTTTTCATTGGGCATTACAAACTGGGCAAACCAGCTTTCTGGGATTAAAAAAGCTATCACCATTGTTGTCATCTTTTATTATTTATGCACGCTGTCTATACAATAGAGTGAAAGTAGAATCTTCTAATTTTCTAATCCAGTAATTGGGAGTGTCCAGAATGGGACACTCCCAATTGGGTCCCAGGACTATCAGCAGAGTAAGGCTTTGAGGCATTTACAGAAGGTTGAAAGGGTGGGGTCAGATCTCACCTAAAGAGTGATATGATGTTCCAGAGGGTGGGTGCTGCAGCAGAAAAGGTTCTTTTCCTGGACCCTACCAGCTGAAATTCCTTGCCCCTTCTGCCAATGCAAGTGGCATGGTTGCGCTGGCAGATAGGGCATGCCGTGTACCCCGTTTGGAAGCTGGTGGAGTAGTGATGCAAATAGGTGTGATGGAATGTAGTTTGGCTTCCCAACTAAGAATCCAGACCACATTTCCGTCACATCAGTGAGGCTGTATCAAGCACATGGGACAAAGATGTGTGAATGTCTGTACATGTGAGAGAAGTCAGTGACTGACCTTGTTTGTGGTAAGTCTATTTTAGAGTTTGTATTTGTGTTCAAAATCATAGGAAACTATAACACTTATTTATAGCAAACATAGCCAGGTGAGGGGGGAGGAATCCAAATAATGTCAAAAAAATTTTAAAAAGTGCAACAACATGCAAGAAAGAAAGGGTCATTATCCACATTCCCGCACTTATTTCCTTCCTAATTGAAATGATAACATGCCTCAGCATTTGTTTGTTGTTTCAAAAGCCATAGGTGGAACACTTTTGGTAACTGGAAGAATTTTTTCAAAGGAAAAAGAGTAATTCATTCCCCTGAAAACATAGCTCACACATTTTCTTGAAACATTTAAGTGGAATGGATCGTTTTAGTGATTCTGTAAGCATAATGTTGATAAATTTCCCGTTTAAATAACAGAATGCTTGATTGTTTGTCCTCCTCAGTCATCTTCAGAACTAGATTATAAACTTATCAAATGCATCTATATTCTGAATAAACTAAGATGTTTGATGGGAAGATACTGACTTAGGTCTCGGCGAGCATTCATTTCTAGAGTTACTCAGATTTATGATAATACAGAGATCAGTGCTACTACACAGGATAGGAAGTATCGTAAATACTTCCCTTGTGTACTAATTTCCTCATTTTTACTAAACGTTCATTGAGCACTGTAATTCAAATATATATTTTCAATATGGTTCAAGATTACAAAACCATCCAAATCAGATCAGAATAAAGTTTTTTTTAATTAAGATGTCTATTTACAAGGATAGATCCAAAGGGTTAAGTTCAAAAAAATAAACCCAATTTTTAATCAGGAACATCAGTCATATATCATAGTCAACCTGTAATTAATACAAAAATTATAATTAATATAAAACCCCAATTAATATAAATTATTAATGTATAACTAAGCCAAATTTCAGCACCAAACTTTTAATGTCAAACCTGAGAATACTGGACAGATAAATAAAGAAAGCAAGGATATAACTAGAGTTCCATGGGTAGTAAGGCAAACCTCTTGGAGGTTGGGGCCTCCATCCAAACATCAGTCATCAACATGGCTACATTTGAAGGGGGAGACCTATTCTGATGTCTGGGGTTGTATATCAGTGGTAGACTGGACTAC